GAGCTTCTCAGGATCCAGACCGTCCAGCCGCATGCTGTCGACGAACTGGTCGCGGCTGTTGTCGAACGGAAGTTTCGCGCAGTCCTTGGCGTGCAGCGGGTCGTTGGGGGGCAGGGGACTCGTGGCGTTGGGCTGGTACGTCCTGATGATGTAGCCCCCCTGCCTAATCTCTAGTTCGCAACGAACGCAAGGGAGCTTCCGCGCGAAAAAGGGGGGAAAGGGGTGGGCATGAACGACGGAGAGAGAAGCATGAGTACAAAAGAAGCGAACTACAGGATAGAAGAGAGAGAAGCGGTAGAAAAAAGCGAAGGGTCGTTGGATTATATTCATAGAAGAGAGAGAAGCGGTAGAAAACAAAAAGCGAAAGATCGTGGGAGTATCGGAAGAGAAAAAATGCATGGAATATTAATATTGGAAGAGAAAACTCACGTCGATCCTGTCGTCGTGTTCCTCCACCTTGTCGACAAACCGGTAAGCTTCCTGCCCGCCAGCTTAGCTTCGTGCCCAGACAGTCCTCCCACTCCAGGTGGGTGTTGACGTAGGATTCAAAGAGGGAGCAGTAATCGTGTACGGGAGTAAAGGGGGCAGAACGCTTTCATAAATATAGAGGACAGAAAAGAGAGGCCGACAAGCGAGGATTGCAAAACACAATCCGCAAGGATGTTGATCGGGAAGTGAAATGCACAGAGTGGAAGAAACGGAAAGGTCTGGACAGACAAAAGCGAAAGGAGTGGAAGACATGCAAAGAGTGGAAGAAACGCAAAAAAGGCGTGGAACGAAAGGTGGAGGTGTAAAATAAACATAGTAAACACAATAAGCATGAACGCCCCTATCTTGCCAGTCTTGGTCTTCTCGGCGTTGGGGTTGGGTACACCCAAGCAGACGACCCCTGGCTTGATGTCCGTCAAGCACGCGATGCAGGGCGAAGCGATGGAGAGGATGGAAATTTTGTATTTGCAACCCCGCGAGTAATTCTCGCACCCGCCAAAGTTGGCGCACCCTGCGGGTGTCTGGAGCTCCGTCGCAGTCCTCGCGAACACAATGTCCGAACACAATGTCCGATGACCTCGCAGAGCTGAAACTCACCGATCGCCAGACTTACGCTTCGCAGCAGGAAAGGCGGCGCTGAAGATGTTGCGTGCGGACATGAAGCAGTATTGTAGGTGGACGGGTGCTGGTAGTAAGTGAAGGGCGCTATGGGAGGAGTGAGCGGAGGGGGGGATTGAGAGGAGAGGGGGGGAGCGCGTGTGCGAGGGAGAGAGAAGGAGAGAGCTGCGCAGCCAGACAGAGAGATAGACCTTGTTGCAGATGTCGGAAAATAATTGAAGAATGCAGGCGGATAATCCGACGGACGGGGAAAACGGAAAACGCCCGGATGCGAGATCCAGACAGAGAGATACACCTGGTATGATCGCAAAGGAGTGCGTGAGATCCGCACAGAGAGCGAAACGAAGAGCGATAGACCTCGTGTAATGGGAAGAGCCGCAAAGGAGTGCCTGAGTTCCAGACAGAGAAAGATCGAAGGGACACACCGACAGCCCATGTGTGATGTGTGATCAGATAGAAAGCGGAAAAGAGGCCGGTGTGTTCGGAATAATAATGCGGTAAATAAAATAAATGTGAGCTGGGAGATCTGAGAGACGAATAGAAGAAAATAGACGAATAGAAGAAGACAGAGAGAGAGAGGGAGAGAGAGAGAGAGAGAGAGTGAGAGAGGCAGACAGACAGACATCCACTCGGAGACAGTTACCCTCACAATGAGAAATTATTCGAAACGATGATTGTGAGAGGGCCTGAACAATCGGGAAAACTGCTCTGTGAGAGCCCGAAAAACGGAATACTGAGCTCTCAGGCGTCCACGCGGAAAATGCATGGAACGTTCTCACGGAATTCTCAACTGATACAACTGTTACTGTTTGAAGTGCAAGTTAAACGGGGGGGAAAGCACGATCGAGCAGCGAACACGAGTGGGCGATTGACCTCTTGTCAACACCTCGAACGCAAACAGGCTGTTCGCAAACAGGCTGTTTAGAACAAGCCTTAGCGAGAATGCTTACAGCAGTGCTGCACTCCCAGGAATTCTTGTCATTGGCCCGGCAGAGTTTGCCATTTTCGTGAACATTCGCGATACTGTAGACTGGATATGCCCAGCAAAGCAGTGGCCATGGGGCATATGTCGGCATTTTAATCTGGTATTTTCTTGCCCCTTTTCACTCGGCAGAAATTATCGCGGATGGTATCGGGGCTGTGCGTCGTGCGTTGGAAGAGGTTTCCCGACACCTGCCACAGGACGAGTACACCCGGAGGGAATACGCACAGCGCTTTCTGGAAGCCAGTCGGGAAGGAGGTCGTGCACAGCCATCCGAAAGGCGAGGGCAAGGACACATGTGAGAGGGCGATACCATGGTAGGTGGAAACAAACAAACGGGTCTTAGCAGGGCCCTGGCAATCGTTCTGCCCTCCGCCCCGCTAGTCAGACGGCACTACTTTACGCTGGTGGAAAATTTTGGTAGCGAAATCGTCGGTTGAGGAGCTGCTATTGTTCCGGGACGGCGGACTTGGTGTACTAAGTGTGCTAATGCTTTCTCTCTCTTTCACTCCGCCCCCCGCTTCGCACCATCAGGGCTCTTCTTTTCGATGCCACGACCAGCACCACCCCGGAAGGCGGGCGTGATGAAAGTCATGAAAGTGTTGTTAATAGTATAGAGGGGCAAGTGTCCCCTCACCAGATGCGGCGTGTGGGCGACGAGTTCGGTGCGCTACAGCTTCCTTACACGGAACAGGTGAGGGGGACGGTGGACAGCTTGCGCGGGAGAGGCGTACGCCACATGTCCGCTTTCTGGCCTAGTGTACAACAACTGCAACCCCGTGCCTTGGTCACCCGACAAGTCGTTCAAACTCTCCACGCCGTTCTATGTTCGCCTTCGGAGAAACGTTTGCTACCCTTGGAGTCTAGTATGTTGTCTTCTTTGTGATGTATAGTCTCTTCTTTGTGATGGTGTGCTGTAGCCTTGGTTATCTCTTTCTTCTGACGATCTTCGGTTTGCCCTCTCGCGTGTTGAAATGTACTTGGAACGGTTTCGTCCTCCCTTGGATGGCGTTGTTGCACTTTCCTGAGATGCAACCCACGGCTTTCCACTTGAAAAATGTTTGTCGCTCAAGGTACTGACACGCTTTGGCGGATGAATCCATGGATCGATTAATCAGTCCGACCCCCCCCCCCCGGATATTCCTTGGTATCGTTCGTTGTTTTCGCTGTATTGGAGTTTAATAATATGCTTTTCATCGTGCCTTTGTCTGTCGTGATTTGTATCTATCCTGCACAGGATATCGTGAGCGCTCTTGGCTGGGTGCGAACAATGATATCTGATGTGCAGAACGTGCTGCTGGAGTTTGATGACAGCGATTTGGAGGAGCTAGCTCAGGTAGGGAGGAGGGGTTCAGCTCTTCGGTGTCGTCGCCCCACGTTGTAGGCCGCAAGTACGGACGGTGATTACCGTTCAAGTTTCGTCCAAGGTTTAACGGTTCAACCTGTTGATGCTTCATACATAGACCGCGTGTACCTTTAAAGCTACATCCCGGAGGTTATTTTATGAACTTTTCTGTGCAGCAATTTAGGTGGTACCTTGGGAGGTGAACGTTTGGTGAGATTTTGGAAAGTGCTCGGTCGGTAAGCGAGCTCTCCCCAACTGCTGCTGTTGTCGTCTTGGCATGTCGAAGAGTTCCGATCTCTTCTTGTCAGTATACCGCCTTCATTGAACGTTCTTGCTGGTCGAACTAACGCAGGCGCCTTCCGTCTTCACGGGCTGCCTATAATTTAGCCTACAGTACTCGACAAGTACCTAACATCATCTGGATCACAATAGCGACCGAACGGAAGGAAAAATGGGGCGCGGTTAAACTTGCACGTTGACTCTCGCCCTAGTACAAGATGCGCCTGCCTCTATGGCCATCGTAGAACACGTCTCAGTTGACCGACTGGCTGATTGTCCCCGTTTCCCTCGGCGGATCTCCTGCCCCCCCCCAACCCTCAACTACCAGATGACCCTCATCTCTCTCCGAATACTGGTCGGCTACGCCAAGAGCACCCACAGGAGCCTAGCCCAGCTATGCCGCGTGCCCTTCCAACCCCGCCGAGAGCGCGCAAGAATGGCAGTTCACGCCGACCCTAACAACAACAACAACAACGCCTCCGCCGAAGCAAACCCTGCGGCGGCACGTGTCGGTGAGCTGTTCCAGGTAGACGAGGACGAGGACGAGGATGACGGCCATGAGGGTGGGGGCTTGCCTTGGGACCCCCTCGCCCCCAGGCTGTTGCAGGAGGCCCGGCGGTTGGCGGAGGAAGGGAAAGAGCGGCCCTTCACGGCGGCGGTGGTGTTGGCGGCCGCGTTGCCGTTCTCCGGGGCGGCCGTGTTCTTGGGGGCGCCGGTGTTGGCCGGAGACGCGGCGCTGCAGTGGGGGGCTGCCACGCCCGTGGGGAGGACGGTGGGGCATGGGACCAAGAATGCTGTGGAGGTGAGTGAGCGAGTGGGCACGGTGGGTGCAGCGCCTGGGCGGTGAATTGCGGGGCGGGTGGTGGTGGGTGCACATGCACGGTTTTCACGGTTCTTTGTGAGTTCGAAGAAGGAAAGTTACGTACATGTAGCCGGGGGTGGGGTTAGACGGGGGAAGGTTGTCCTATCCTGTTAATGGCACGGAAGGTGTCTGGTGTAGAGGGTTGTGTGCTGCAGTGCTATGCACACTTGAGGTAGGCAGGCCATGGCCTCGAAGAACACACGGTACAGCAGTAGGTCGATCGATCGATGGACTACATGCTGTGCTTACGGCGGAACGAATCAAAGCTACTGTATACATACAAGTAGCTTACATGCCTGCTGGTTTGTGGCCGGCACGGTTTTTGGCGGACCACGCTTCTTTCTTCCGACAGCAGTATAGACCCGACGCCCGTAGCAGTTCCTGTTGCCCCTTACATACACGACATGTGCGTGTCGTTCGCTGGGCTGCCCCCACTGCCGCTATAACATGCCGTTGCTGCCCCCCGCTGTCTTTTCGTGATGCACCGCGACTGCACTTTGATCCCCCTAACGTCCAGCTCGGCAAGCTCGGCTGGGTAGCGAGCAAGTTAGCCACAAAGCAGACGCTGAGACTGGCGAGCCAGGAGCTGGACCGAGCGGGGGGAGTGACGGGTCTGGCTTGTCGGGCAGGAGAGGGCGCTCTTTGGACGGCGAGACATCCGGTAGAGGCCGCCATGGCTACGGTAGGCATGGCCGCTGACGCGGCAAGCGCGGCGTACGAACAAGCGGTGTGGATGGGCGATTTGCTCGCAACAGTTCGGGAGGAAGTGTTCTCTCGACCCGCGGAACCTGAGGACGGTTGCAGATAAGGAAGGGCGTGATGCCTCTCTTGTTCCGAGTGTTTTGTTGGTCGGTGTGCAGTTGTGGTACATAGGTTGGACGATTGGAGCCGAGATGTGGCAGGGTACGTGGCCGTGGCTCTGTCCCACATCGGTCGTGCCTGCTCAGCCTGATCCATGTATTTAGTATTTTCTGTGGGACTTGGGCTGCGTTCGCACCACGGTTTCCCAGCGATGTACATACATGCCGTCGTTTGTGAGAATGGAGGGACCCTTGTCCCGCCGCTACGGAAATAAAACCGGTGAAGCTACAACCGTGTTGAAGCACGGTTTTGTGCATCTGACAGGTGTCGTTAGGAGGGAAGTTTCATTCGCGGTAGGCCAGGCACAGCAATACAAAGGAGGTCTCTCAAGGTAGCCTATCCCTGTGTCCATGTGTTCTGCAAAAAGTGTGTTGTTTTTAATGGTGTGGGTGAAGTATTCCAAACTCTGTTGATGGGCCATGTGTCCTACAGTATGTTTTGTTTTCGATGGCCCTGGGTGAGGTGCGGCACGCAACGTAGGGCATTGGTTGCCGTAATGCCGTAAATACCAAGGCGTGCTGTTGACGCAGCTATACTAATTTGTTGGGCGTTTGGGTGCAACGGCATGCACCAAAAATGCGGCAGAGCACGGGTGTCCCACGTGTAACAAACAAACCGAGCGGCGGTGTGGCGGGGGGTGTGACGACAATAAAAAGCAAATACTCGTCCGACTCTGGTAAATAGCATACTTGCAGGAAGGAGCCTTCTTGCCGGCACAGAGGCACTCGCTCGCCGCAGTAACATGTGTGCATTCGGGCTTCAAACGACAACGATTTCCCCCCATCAAACGTTACACGACACTTGAATCCCCCCTCGAACAGCACGCCACCACAAGGGGATGGAGGGTTCAATTGAAAGACGCTCGCTGCTGCTGGAAATATTCACCTCTGTCGACGTTTCCACGGAGGTGTTTTCTTCGTGACAGCAGTGACAGAAACACGTGCACACCGCTGTCGTAGGCTGCTGCTTGTTCCCCTGACGGCTCAACACCGGTAAACCGTGCAGCTCGTTCTCTCTCCTATTCTACCGGTACACATTTGGTGCCTCTGAGTATCACACGCAAAATACATACATCTCTATTCGTCAACTCGATCAAAGGCCGTCCGTATGATGAGGGCTCGACGGTGACAACGACAAGCACAAGTTTATCCAATCGAACCACGGTGCAGCAGTGCCGCTACAGCAGTGGTACATGTCAAAATCATTTACATTTCATGACTAGCAGTACACGAGGTGCGCCTGTATCCCTAAAACAGCGGTAGGCCTCCCTCCCGGCTGCCCCCCACCCTCCTGGACCTTCCACACGTACCCATCCGCCCATCTAATCATCCCTTCAAGAGCTCAGCGCACACACCGCAGCCCGTACGAAGGTTTGCTGGCTGGAATACAGACAGAACAGAGCAAGGGAGACAGAGCGGCATCAATCATCAATCCAGAGCTGCAGGGTCAACTTCTGATTCCGGCCCGGCGTTGGGGGACGCGTCCGTGGCCTCACTCGTCACCGCCACCGTCTCCGTTGCCGGCACAACACCCTCGACGGCCCCGTCCGCCCCCTCCGCTCCGTGGTCAGCGGCGGGCGTCGTAGCCGCCGCCGCCGCTGCTGTCGCGGCCACAGCTTCCCGCAAAGTCTGCTCCGTTTGGACCCTCACCGCTGCCACCAAGGCCTCTGCCTGCGCCTCGGCTTGAGCCTGGGCAGCCGCCTGCGTCTCGGCTTGCGCCTGAGCAGCCACCTGGAGAGCCGCCTGAGCAGCCGCTTGCGCCTGAGCAGCCGCTTGCGCCTGAGCAGCCGCTTGCGCCTGAGCAGCCGCCTGGGTTGCTGCCTGAGTAGCCGCTTGCTCCGCGATTGCCTCCGGGGATCGCACTGGCTGCCACCTGAATGAACACCAAAGCCAGACGGTTCAACGGTTCAACGGTAAGCGGAAGGGAGAACAGTGTAGGTGATGAACATACAATTCACCAAGCATTGCACTGCTAGACACGTGCAGTACATATGCATACGTATGCAACAGGACGTAGGGGGTTCGTCTGGGATCTGAACTGCTGTAGCGAGTGCAGAGATTGGAGGAAGGTCAGGACAAAACACACGTGCGCGAGGTCACCTGATCGCGATCGATCTAAGACGGTTCTCTCCATCACGAGCCGTCATTCGGCCGCAACCATACCCCTGCCTGTTCGCTGGGTGATAGAAAAGGAACACCATGGGGCTTTCTCATCACGGATAAGGACAAACTTGTTGTATTCCTCAACATGAATGCGAAACGCACAGGCGTGGTTTGTTCGCAGGACGTCCTTTCGCGGCTTGTGGACGATTGAACCACCCCAAGCGCCCACACGTTCCTTGCATTGCCAACAACAACAAGCAGTGAAAGCATCCCATACAAAGCGTACCCGCACTCTCTAAGCAAGTCTTGGGTTGCGAAAGAAGCGAATGGCTCCAGCTGACTCACTTCGGAAACAAGCTGAAAAAGAAGGCGGAGAAGAAGTATCTCGCGTCCAGCAGTATCCCGCCTCCCTCCATGATGACCGTAGCCCCCGTGCACAGCTTCTTCCAAAGCCCGCCCCCTTCTCTCCCACTCCCCAGCATCTCCTTCAACAGGCCCGTCCTGAAGAGGAACGCGAAGAGACCGCCCAGCGCCAGCAGCGCCAGCACCCACCCGTTCGCGTCGATTCCGAACACCAGGATAACTCCCATGCATTGAAACACCATCTTGAACCAGCCCCGCGCTTCTCTGCCAATATCGGGACCGTTTGGAGCCGGGTCAACCAAGTTTCCCCTCCCAACCTCGCCTTCCTGCCCGAGCCCCGCGGCCGGGATGTGGCCCTCTGGGGGGGGTCCCGTCACATCTCTCACGCCCCCCCCCCCCGCTGGCCCCGGCATGTTGCCGCCTAGCGCCCGGGTCGCGGCCCTCGCAGATACCTCGGTGTACTGCTGCTGCTGCTGTTGCTGTTGCTGCTGCTGCTGCGACGGCGGTGCGGGACTGCTGTAGGTGGCGGTTGGCGTTCGGTGCCGGTATTGCCGCTGCTGCGTGAGGGCTCTTGATTGCGCCGACAGGAAGTTGAACCTCTGCCGGTGCTCTTCCAGGGCCTTCTCGTTTTCTCTCAACGCTTGCTCGTACTGCCGCTGTAGCTGTTCCAGCTGCGTCTGACTCAACTGAATACGCTCGGGACGTTCGTTCGAAGATGCTGCTGCTGCTGCTGCTGCTGCTGCTGCTGCCGCTGCAGTGTCGGGAGGAGCAGCCGGGGCTGCACTACTGCTTCTCAGCGACGGCGTCTGTAGCCGCGGCTGCTGTTGAAGCCGCTGCTGCGGCAACGACGATTGCTGTGCTGTGGGCGTTCGCGCGACATCCGCAGTGCTGTCACCCGCAGGGTCTTGTTCGACGGGCTGCGAAACGATCAGGTGCATGTTGTGCTGCCCCGAAAGATCGAGCTGCAGCAAAGGTCGAGAGAAGGAAGGAAAGGAAAGGTGCATACAGCAGACACCCACCGTGAGCGACAGAAGTGCGTCTGTCTTTCGTCGAAATTTGGTGAGGTACCACCGACTGTTTGTTCCCTCTGCCGTTGCAGCAACATACGTCAGAACCGGTTATATTAACACTTTCCACAATACCGTGTGAAACAAAAAAGCACCCTGGGGGAGGCATACGAGTCAAGATACAACTGTTGTTGTGCCCGTACTTCTGCACTGGCCACGGACGATTTTTCACCAAGTCCAGCATGAACCCAGCGGGACGAACGCTAACATCTCCCAACAGCAGCGCAGAATGCAAACACACCTCGTGCTTGCGATACAGAGCGTTAGCAGTGGACGAAAGCATCAAGTTCGAACAAACCAAGCTCACCCCTCTCATGACGTGCCCAAGCTGCTGCGTCTCTTCTTTGCACTGCTTTCCCCGAAAAATCAGGCGCTGCTGTTGCGGCGCAGGTCTGCCAACGAACGTTTCCTGTAACAACCGCTTCAGGTCGCCGATCGTGATTGTTGTCTCCAGGCTAAAAACCTCGCTGCTGCGGTTGTAGACGTCGGTGACGGAAAGGTTGACCGGCGTACCGTCGCTGCCCCTCGCAGCCGCAACCATCTCCGCCTCGGGGTGCGAACGCCCAGCGGCCCTTGTGTCTGACTCCCCAACCGTTGCCGCCGCCGCCATGACGTACAGTATCGCTGGCGCTTCGATACGTTCCCCTTCGGGTCTCCCAAGCGTAGCTAGCGCCAAGCGTAGCTAGCGGCCTCTGGTTTTGCGCTGTCCTTGAGGGGCCCACCTGCTGCCATTCCACGCGGGAAAACACGCTACTTTCTCCTGAAAACCGGGAGTGATTGCAAGAAGCAACGGTGTGGATGAGGAGGGGCAAGGAGGGGTTTACTGGTGCACCAAGGTTGGGCGGGAGCTCAACACACGTGCTCGCTACAGAGGGGCATGGCACATTTTCGAACGCATATAGATTCGCGTTAAATCCCTGAAGTTGCTCCGTGTCGATTTTTTATATGCGAGGCGTGTTGAAGACAACGGAAATATTTTGGATATGTATTGGAACTCAAGTGCATGGTACCCATCCGTGATGCTCCCTGAAGTTGCTCTGTGTTGACGATTTATATGGGAGGAGTGTGGCGTTTGAGTGGGCGAACATCACCCTGCTGGCTCTAAGGTCGATGGAAGGAACTCACGCTATGCTCGCAGAGTAGCCAACCAAGATAGTTTAGGTTTGGAATTTGGCAGGAAGACTAAATTAATCGCGCAATGTGAGGCGACACTTGCCTGCCTTTGACTACTCTGAAGACTGCAGCAGTCGCGATCTCTGTTAAGCCGGTATGGAGAGCAGCAAGGGATTTGGCCCCTAATCCCGGGGACCCGACACTATTCCGAGATTCTGAGCGAAGCAGACGAGATAAAATAAATACCATCCATTGCTTAAAATTTAGGATTCAACGATTTCACTGATCTAATGGAGGCTACTGAATGGAGGTGGACCGGCCATATTTGTGCGGCCTTGCCCATGCGGTATGATAAAGGGAACCATTAGCTTCAGCATTATAGACCAAGCTTTACACGGATGTCTGTTGATGTTGAACTACAATACTCTGTACCGTATGTACGTAGTAAATGTTCTGCGGTGCCTTCACTACGTATGTACTTGCCTAGCAGATCGACGCCCGTGCCGAACTTAACATATTGAGATAACGGGGTCCGTTCCGAAAGAGAATACAGGTGGGTGTGGTGTCCATGGACGCTATTACCATACTGCTGGGGGTTAGGCTACAGCACCATTTCGGCGACAAACTGCGTATAGAAGTCCAGTCTATGCTTACACGAAGAATGCACATCTGTGAACTGCTGTATACCTATGTACAAGGTTCGACAAGCAGGTATGGCTTGCTGCCAAGTAAACATCACGCGCGGGGATAGCCGTGGTCGAGCCGATTGAGGGGGTTCATGGCAATGCCCGTTCAGCGTGACGGTGAATCCCTCTCTTGTATCTAGAGTTCCACATGGTACACCATACTGGTGTACGACCATATCGTAACGTTGACCAAGTTGCCGTAGACAAGGCGGTTTTCTCTCTCTCGCACTTGCTTGTCCGAACACGTGTAAAATTGCACATCCGTGATGGTTCCGAAGACGATAGGGAACGGCGTGAGCTCCTTTGAGCGTAAGGGGCTATCAGACACTCCCTGTGGGTCCCTGGGTCCGTCACAGGAAGCAGGAAGGGCCGCGTGTCACGACAAGAGAGGAGGGCAGAAGAGCCTCTTCAAGCGGCTAATAGCAATGAGAGAGACAGAGGAGAGGGCCGGCGTGGCGAAGCTACGATTTGCTTGGAAAACCCAACACCCTGCATCTGCTTTGGCGCAAGAAAAGTGGAACCAAACCTTACCTGCAGCGCTCGTCCCCGCTGCTCAGTGCTATGTTTGCGCGAGTGAAGTAGCTTTATTTGTGCGGCAGGCTTTACTCATTTCACCTGTTCTCCAAGCGTATCGCGTTCATTGGCCAACACTTGCGCCCCGAAGACTAATTACGCCGCACCCCGCACCACCTTTCGAACCATCCATCAGCACCAGCAGCAGCAGCAGTATTAGCCTTACCCCCATCTGTCCCACGACGGGCCGCGCGCAGCGAGGATGGCCACCAAACAAAGCAAACGTGAGTAGATTCTCCTATCCCCATGCGATTTGTTGGTCTGCGCTTGCCAGTGCGGGTTGGGCTCACAATGAAGTGGTACACTTGTACACTTGCTGTTGCCCCGTCACGATCGCGACCGATCGCCCTTGGGCGCACCACACAACGCCCACCAGAGAGCTCAGCAACAACCGAATGCGGGCAAAGCAAGGAATCATGTACCTTCTACGACCGGCGACCCGCACAGACAAAGTAGATGTCACTCTTTCGGGATACAGGGGATAGCAGGGAGTCGTAAACCAGCAACATAAGCACTGGTGGTGTCGTTCGGGCCAGCGGCCAAACCATCCAGCAGCAGTACCTGTTGAACGGTGTGCTGGTGCGGCGGTGTGTCTTGTTCCACAAGCGTCCCAGTGTTTCTTACGACCTGCTAGGTCAGTCCCTGACATGAACCCATCTCGAGGAGCTGTTTTCCACCGTGACAGCTCCCTTGTTATTGCTCGGCGGGAATACATACAGAAAACATGTGTACATGTATACTAGAATAGTACAGCAGTACTACCGTAGGTGACATAAGATACCACACCCCCGGAACCGATTTCAAAGCTCGATTACATTCTCTGCAGCCAAAACAATGACGTTGACGAATATGATGGTGTTGGAACCATGTCGTCGAGATCTTTCCAAAACCGCATCTGTTGATTTTGACACCATCCTCTTCTACGCGGAGTATGTATAGTCGAGCTTTGAAAATCGGTCCAGGTGGTGTGGTGTCTTGTGTCACCTACAGATACATACGAAGAAGTACATTACAGCAGTAGTGGTGGTGGTGGTCGTGGTGCTCCTGTTCACGACACTTGCACCCAGTTGCAGCTGTTGCCCAAGGCCTTCAACCTGGTACCCCTGCGGCCAGCCGATGACAAAAAAGCCGGATGACGAAAAGGCGCCGCGCACGTGTATGCATTGAATTTCGAGCGTGTGTTTCGATTCCGCTTGGAAGGTGAGACTGCTGTTGAGGACGATGACTTCGACGACTACGACGATGAGTACGAGAGCTTTCAAGGGGCAGACGAGGAGACTGGGGTGCAGCTCGGCACGGTCCTACCCCTGGAGGTATCGCTGGCAGACAGCGTCCTGTTCAAGAACGTGGACTGGCATGACTGGGACGGTGGAAAGGCCGGAGGATGGCCTGTGAGATACAACACGTGTATTGTTACAAGAGACGGACGGTTGTCGGCATGGGCGTTTGTTTTGTTTGAAGTTGGAGGAGAGGTTACTCCGCCGTCATGTACGGAGTATCCATTTTTGGTTTCACACGGTATTCTCGTCTCCACTTTCGGGTCGCTTGGAGATAGGAAGGATTGGATCTGTTCGGATTAGGCCTCCTGTCCCAGCTGGAGGACCTCACACTCGGATATGGTGCCGCGCTGAATCGTTCAGCACGGCATAACACCCCACAAATCATCGAACGGTGGAGATGCAATTGGAGATACAGCAGTATTGTAGTTGGGCGGGGGTGAGATGGTCCCTGTTTTTTTGTTACCCTCTTGGCCTTTGCCACGCTTTTTTTGGGGGGGGTGGGGCAGGGAATGATCGACAGGTTCGTCCATTCCTCAGGATTTTGGGGGGCCGGAAGCTGGGGATGTAATCGTGCCGAATTTGTTCCCCGGCTGTTGACTCCCCGATTTTACCCCCCACAGAATGACCTCTTCGGTCACCACTACAAGTACAGTACTCGCGAATTGTGAAAACATGAGTGTGTGTGCAAGTCCACAAGTCTACCATACCTCGGTGTCTAATTGCGAACTATCTTCAAAGAGGGTATCCCAACACATCCTCCCCGCTTCATCCGACCATGCGCGTTGAAAGCTCCGTACCGGGCTCATGCTCCTGTTGGAAGTTAGACTTCCACACCGCTTCGAGGAAAGCAATCCAATCACTCATTTCCGCCGAACTGGTCGTGGTGATCGTTTTCAATATATTCGTCGTTCCACATCTGTGCTGCACTCAACGTCTGTCTGTACTGGGAACTCAGGTGTGGCTCAACCCTCGCGATCTCCCAGCCCCGCAAGACATGCGTTGCGGCGAGTGCAGCCATCCCCTGTCTTTCCTGGTGCAGCTGTACTGCCCCCTTGACCACGAAGATGACGCGTTCCACCGCTGTCTTTACGTGTTTTGTTGTCCCAAGGTAAGTTGTGCTTGGTGTGGTCATGGTCAGGACTTGAGTGTCTACTCTGTTTACCTTGCGCAAGGTGGATAGTTTTGACGTGAACCGATCAGGTGCCGGCAGCCCGTAAAGCCTTTGTTTACTCTGGCGCAGCCCCGTACGATAGTCCTGTTCGGTTAACCTCCTTAGCGGTGGGCTGGAAGCGACGTGACGACTGCAATCCGTTCTTGATGCAGCTTTCGGAGATAGCTCCCTCGGAGATTTTGATTTTTGTGGAAGCATACAGTAGCCACGATGCTTGTTTGTGGACGGCTAGGAGACAGGGCTGCTCGTGTCGATGCTTGATGTCGGATGCTCCGGGAGGAGAGTATCGTAATCCCTGTAGGTAGAATACAGAACAATTACAGTGAACCTGCAAGACAGCAGAAGCACGCGACAAATCCAATCCTACTCTCGCTGCACACGAGGAGAGAACTCTTTGCCTGCTGATTATTCACACTCATTTTGTGCCCAATACTTTTCCTGTTTGCGCGTTTCTGGTCGTGTCGTTCAGGCCTCCTGCTCCAAGAACTCTAGCGTCAAGGCGTTGCGCTGCCAGCTGCCCAGGGAGAACGACTTCTATCCTTACGAGCCAAGCCACAAGGTCAGTGCGCCGTCGGTGGGAACGGATTAGGCTACAATTCAACCAGACGGGACTATGGTCTCTTCTCTATTAGGCATTACTGCCAGGTAGAACCATGGAGTGGTACACCTGTGGGGGGCAATCCATGAACTACTGCTGTTGCGGCAACTTGAAATATCATGCCAGATCTCTTTTCAGCGCGCCCCCCCCCTGATTCTATCGGCAAGCTCAATCCTACTTCGGGGGGTTACGTATTTACTCATAATGTGGCCTTCACGTCCGGCCTTGCATCTGCTAGAATAGAAGAGGTCGCCGAAGCAGATGCAGATAGATGCCCCTCGGGACCAGACCGCAAAATCACTCGTTCCTCCCGGTTTCCCCTGTTTTGTTGTGGCCAGGCGTCGATCTTGGCGAAGCAACAGAAGGGGTCTGACCCCGAGACATGGGGGGCCAAGCTTTGCTGTGTGTGTGGTCAGTCGGCGAAGAGCGCTTGCTCGAAGTGCAGGATCGCACGGTACTGTGGGCGTGAGCACCAAGCGCTTCACTGGAAAACCGGGGGGCACAAGAAGGTGCGATTCGACAGTGGTGCAGCATGACGGCTACTTGTAGCTTGTTCAAGCGTGTTATTCTGTGTGTTATGCAACAATTCTTCGTTCCTGTTGACTTGTGTTTGCTGAGTACGGGTGCGCTGGAAATGGCGACAACATGGTGCGGTTTATCACACGGGGAGCAGTACTTCTCCTGCACGGCACGGCAGCGAGGCAACGTGTTGTGCGTGCCCGCCAAACTCTCTTGGGTTGGTGCTGGCTATGACATGTTGTTCGAATCCTTTGCAGATTTGAACACACAGGGAACAACAGAGGCAACAACTATTTTGAATCAACAGTTGCTTGTCTCCCGCCTGACCCTCTTTGCACCTCAGGCTTGCGCATCAGATAACGGAGCGGGTACAATAGCAGCACCGAAGAGTACCGCTGGAACGTTGCACGCCCGAACAACACCGAAAACGTTGGTATCAGCCTCGGTGTTTCGGGAGTTCGAGGTGGAAGTTCGACCGGAGCCTCCGCCGCCACCGCCTGCACCAGATGGTCGAACGGCGGAGAATGTCTTGATGGGCCAAATGGGCTTGGAAGGTGCGGGTGCGTTGTTTGGGGTGCTCACCGGACGATGGCAGCGCGCGTGACAAACAATGCTGTGGCGAGGGTTGTTGCGTCCATTAGCTGGTGTTGTGTGGGAGATGGAGGGGCGTCTTCGCATCGAAGTTGTCCAACATGCATGGCATACATAGCGTGCCAACCCGGGAGACGTGACCGCAGTTTCGTTGGGACTGTGTGATAAGCGAAGCGTTGTCACAATGGAGGTTCTGTCCCCCTCAGAAGCAATATTTTTAGCATGGTATTCGACTGCGCTTCGACGGTGTCCACTGCTCTACCTGTGGAGTTCTCGTTTTTTCGAGCCCGGATACGGTTTTTTTCTATTCGGTGCGACCGAGGACGCAAAATATCGAAGTTACGCATTCGGAAGCCTTCTCTAAGTTGTTGAGACTCGAGTGTGTTTGCCGTACGCGTTACGATAACGCCAAGCGGTTTTCTCGCTCTGACAAACGGTAACGGGGTGCCGCTGCTGCCGTGCAGGTAGCAGTGATGATGGGGAACCCGCGGATGGCGAAGATGACGACTCCAAGCTTTCGCAGGCAGAGCTTGACAAGGTGGCGGTGAGTACACGGTCGTGTTAGTGTACTCGCTTCGCCAGTACCACACAGGCGGGGGTGTCTTTCTATCTGTTTTTTCGCGTTTTTGACATTTTTTCGGTGGTAAAATTGGCGACGGGTAGTGATGGACGTTGCTGCAGCGCCACAGGCCAACAACTGTTACGACCTCGATTTGTCGGCTGGCCAGTCCAAGGGGTTGACGCCTCACCGTGCTGTCCCTGGTGGTATCAATCAGACGCTTGCCGTGTCTGCCAATGCGAACCGCTACCTCTCCCCCCTCTTTAACCCCTCGCACGACCCCCTTCCGCCTTACTTACTCGTCATGGGGCCTCGCTCTGCGGCCTACGATACCTGTAACGCTGGTTTCATTCAGGGCGTGCATGGAGTGAAGGACAAGACCACTCTTCAGTTCCTCACTCGAACGCAAGCGAACCCGCAGGTGTGGTGTGGTGGGTGTGGTGTGTATCTGCCCTGTTCTTGAATTTCCGCGGTGCGTAAGACATGGCCACGGGGGCGAGAGTGATACATCTACCCCATATGTTCGAGAGTTTCCATTTCTGCGATACGCCGAGTTAGTGTATGTGCCAGCGCTTCATTTGAACGGGTGGCACACAGGTGGTTGCCCGATGACGATGAAATCAAGGCAGCGAGGCTGTGTTGGTGCAGTGAATATGTCGTGTTGGCTATTGCACCGGGCCGTCAATTGTTTGTCCACTTTGTTTCTTCGGAGGCGTGTCAATTTTTGTGATTTTCATCTCACGCACCACACACCACACCGCTCTCTTATCTCTTGTCTCTTGTCTCTTGTTTGTCCTGTAGGTTGTTCGCTATGACGCAGTCGGTGCGGGTCCGCTATGGTCCTCGAGCAAAAACATTCCCGAGGAAGCGGACGTCCCTCCCTGCGCGCGATGCGGTCGGACGAGAAAATTTGAGTTCCAGGTACACAAAAAACGGAAATGAACGTGGTTTATACCATCGTATCGTAGGATGTTCGTGGTATTTCAAAGTATCACTTGGACGAATTTGACATGCGGGAACCTTTTACATCCCGATCGTCAGTTCTGAAGGAACGCTGTACAGTTTTCAGCTCACCGATCGACCAACTCCTTTGTGCATCTTTTGGCGATGCTGTAGCGTGGCAGACGTTGCTAAAGTTCCTCGCCCTTTTGGCTTGACTTATGGGCTTAGGATCCCTCGCCTTACTCCTGCTGGCGTTGTAATAATGACGCCAATATCTCCCTTTTGTCAGGTGATGCCACATCTCCTTCACCACTTGGGCGTGGATGCCAACGTCAATGTGAAAGCCCTCGACACCAAGGCGGCGGCACACAGAAGGGAAGGGCCAGGGGCAGCAGCACCCCCGCTCATCACCGGGGAGTGCATGGACTGGGGCACTCTAGCGGTGTACACGTGCCCGGACAGCTGCCCCGCTGTGACCCAAAACACAGCGAGAGGGGGAGTAGACGAGGATGAAGAGGGTCCTCCTGTGGTGGGGTACGTGGAGGAGTTCGTATGGCGCCAACCGCCGCCGTAATGGCCGCGTGAAAAAACCGTTGTGCAGAGCGTTTGTATAGTCCTAGTCGTTGAGGTCCAAGTTTGAAATGCCGGGAAGTTTTGGCGTCAAACGGAAGCTATGTATGTACTTGCGTAGGACTTGTTATCAATCTGCAAAGGGGGACAATCTCTGTTTTTTCCTAGGTTCGTTTGATGTCAAAAATGGGTACGCGTGCGCAAATGCGCGACTCGTTGTCGTGGCTTGGCACTTGTGACCTACGTATTGGCCAGGTTCGATGCTGGCCGTCTCCCGCTCTTCGCGAAAATGTCGATCTACAATCTGTCTTGCAACTGACTGCGTAGGTAGTGTGTTGCTGCGTCATGTCCGGGGCTGTGGGGTTGATCAGGACAATCCGAGGGAAGAACCGCAGCAAGGCAGTGTGAGATCGGACTCTGAGGGTACACCAACCAGATTGCATGCGGTAGCATGCTGCTAGGGCATGTTTCGAATTTGGTTCGTGCTTACACTTGCACATCGAATTTCGTTCCCAGACTGTCACCGTACCAAACATTTAGCACCTCAACACCAGCATATGTGCCCATCAAAAACTAGTACACCCATATCTATCCACCCTAGTATCTGTTAATCCCTGGCAACTCTTCCACGGCTGCGTCTACTGTCACACTAAAGGTCGCGTTGGCCGACAACGCCCCCCCCTTCCCCGTGAAGCCGTTGTCGTCAACCGTGACCGAAATCTCATGCGTTCCGGCCACGCAATCGTACAAAGACGAACAATGATAACTCAACGTGGCCAGGGCTCTGTTGGCATCGTCAATCGCTCCACCAAACCGCAAGACTGGGTCGGAGATGCCTTCCCCCTCAGAGAAAGACAATCCCCCTCTAGCTCCCAAGCTAAGGCGACCGTTCGCACAAACTACGGCAACACTGACCGGCCCTTCTACTCTCAAACCGCCAGCACTGTAGTACGCCGTCTCTCGCACATCGGGATCTTCTACCGATAGAGCCCCACCGGCTCCAACACCTGTCGCCTGGGCGGCGTCGACCACTGTTCTAAGGGTTCCTTGAGGGACGTTAACCGAAGGGGGCCGGTTGACAGCAGATAGGTACACCTGGATCCGCCCCTCCGTTGCTTGCGGCCCGCCGAGCGCGCACGGCGCCCGATCTACTCCTCTTGCTGTCGCGTTGACTCCCGCAGAAGTAGTTGCGTTGTTGAAGACGGGCGAAGAGACGTTGTAGTCGCCCGGGCACGGATCCGGGTCGTCGGTGACGGTTATCCGGATGACATCTTGACCAGCTCGTCCGGGGAGGCCTCTATATCGCAGGTCCCGCATGGCGCGGTTAATGTCGGCGGCGGTGCCGTTGAATCGTAGAACGCCGGACGGTGGGGGCGGTGATGACTGGTCGTCGGGTTGGTCGTCGATCGTTGCCTCGTTGGAGTTGTCGAACACCAGGCCGGAACCGTCACCCATGATTAGCTCTCCTTCGTCGCACTCGATAATGACGCTCAGAACACTCCCCGGGCCGCCGTCGACGTCGTAGATAACCATTGCCTGTTATCATATACGCAACAGACCAAAGAATATGCCGCAGGCTAAGTATGTAGAGGTTCATCGCAACCGTCTATCCATGCCTTGGCATAAAACCTGTTGTGAGTAGCTGGATACGGCATTGCCAACAGCTACCGACCGCATGTGTACGATCCTATCATCGGTGATTCCGTCAATTTCTTTATTGCTCACCTGCGACACCCCCTCCTCCGAAGCCTCGTTCATCCCCAACAAGGTTTCAACGGCCACCAATGGGTCTTCGGTAGCGGGAAGATATAGCGCGCCATTGAATGCTGCCATGCGCGGTGGCCTTCCCGCATCCAGCGAAACCCGGTCGGGCATAAAATCACCTGCCGTTTTCTGCCCGAACGCCCGTTGCGTCCCCTTCCCCGTCCCATCCGTCATCCACAGCTGCGCTCCTCCCCACCCTTGCGCCAGCCCCGTTGCTGCGGCGGCGTCGTAGCCACCGCCATTGGCCAAGAAGAACAGCCTCTCTCCCCCACCGGCTGTTGGCTCTAGCAGCGTGAGGTAGGAGGGGAACGCCCCTGCCGAGCCAGCTCGGACATCGGCCAGCAACAGCGTACCTCCCTCACTGCCGTCCGACACCCACAGCTCCGGCCCGGTGCTGCAGTCGTCCGCTTGGAAGTAGACGGCCCCACCCCACGCGATAAGGTGCGACGGTCCCGACCCTCGCACGCCAGGACAGATGTTCGCCACCATCGCAGTCCCCGCGGTGGTGCCATCGCTGGACCACAGCTCTCGCCCGGAAAACCCGTCATCCGCCGAGAAGAACAATACCGACCGCGTTGGCTCCCACGTGAGGTGCAGGGGCTCCGAGCCTAGCTTGCCCGGGCGTGCGTCCTTCACCCGGCGTGTGCCGGATCCACCGGTGACCCTGAAGCCTAGTTCGGGCCGTGCGTCTAGGAAGCCGAGAGCGCCATCGCTGCGCCACAGCTCCCGGCCGGCAATACCGTCGTCCGCGGTGAAGAACAGCGCCGTCCCGCTGGCGGCCACAAGGTCCATTGGGTTGGACCCTTGGTGCCCTCGGACGATGTCCTAAACGAAGAGGGGTGGAGGTTTCAAACGGCTGCAATTCAATTGATTTCGATTTTGTGATGAAAGTATGTATCAAGTACCAGGCAAACAAAGTCACGATGTACGCATGTTCCTCAGTGACTCTGATCACGGCGAGAGAGTCAATAAAGAGAGCAGAGGCAAAACAAGTTGCATTCGATGCAACAATCACATGGCAGCAAATCCGCTTGTCTCCATCTCCACTGCACCTCGACGATACTAGCCCCGCCCGATGTGCCATCACTGCGGAACATCTCCATGCCCGTTAAGTCCGTGTGGGCGGCGTAGAACAGAGCTCCGTCGAAGACCGTCAGATAGCTCGGGAACGATCCTGATACACCAAACCGCAAATCGTCCACCCGACGCGTGCCCTTGGCACTGCCGTCCGTACGCCAGAGCTCTACTCCGGCGCGTGAATAGCAGCCAGTGTTCGCTCGTTCACCCCATCGACACGCTCCGGGTGCCAGTGAGCCTCTCGTGGTGGCAGCCGTTGTGGTAGAAAGATACGATGCAGCTTGCTCGCTGTCGACGCAGACGATGCCGGCGAAACCCGCGGCGGGGTCACCGATGTCGTCGTTGTCAATGCCTGGCCGGTAGGAGTCTCGACGGCCGGCGTGCTTGTAGGCACCAGTCCTGGGAAAAACGAAGAGGTGGGGCGGGGAGTGTGTAAGGGTACGGTGGTCACACCAACACCGTGGTACGCAATAGGCCCGAGGTTGCTTAATCTACAAAGGAATCGTTCGTGATGTACGCATTGATCGACCCGAGTTTCCGTCGTGACTTAACAGTACGGCAGTAGTTGCACCAGCAATGGACTTGTGATGCAATGGTACGCGACGAGATACGATGCGGTGCGTACCTTCCACTGTCAGAGAAGCGGAAGTACATCCGAGAGCGTCCACCCCAGGTGTAGCCATCCCACCCGCACTGTCCGAAGTACACCGTAGGCTCCATGGACGCGGCTTCGCGGTCATCGTCTTGGGTCCCCGTGAACAACGCGAAGCCCTGGTAGGAAGTATTTCGGGAGAATGGTGCGCACCGCGCAGAGAACCTTGCTTCGTCCGCGATAGGATTAGTCAAGCTCAGCTTGACGCCCCCACGAACACATGCAATCCGTTTGGTTTGTTACCCTTTCGCTCGTTGACAACGTCCGTGGTGCGCCGCCTTTACAACGGTACGCTACACGTAGCCCCGTTTCCGTCTCGCATCCACCTAGAAAGGTGTGGTGCAAACTATTCTCGTGCCGTCGAGAAAACTGAGCTAACGACATGCAGTGCGTTCCGGTTTCGCCACAAACACATGTTCAATTCAGCATGGGCTGCGTACCTGAGCGGTGCTAGCATGGTGGAAGCCGTCGGGGCAGTCGTAGCGAGTATCTGGATCCCACTTGTTCTCCTGCAATCGATACGCCATGTAGGGGGCTGGTTACCGTACACAAGCCACACACGTAAACCGGCCTGGCACCAACAAGACGATGGGCAGCTATGCAAGGCCAACGATTCAGCCGTTGGCTGTGCAACCCAAATCGACCTCGATAGCTCAACGGAGACGTTCGATGGTGCTGCGTATGTGTAAGGAGCACTGCCGGTGTGCAACGTTATATACGTTAAAGTGACGTCTATCTACTCCGCCGAGGAAAATCATATCATGCATGACCACCGGTGTCAAATCTTCGCCGCAAAACGAAGATATCCATTGAAGCGTAAAATTCCAGGTGGTCGCGAGAGAAGAAGCTTTATTCCTCTGCTGTACAGGCGGAATGAGGTACGGTACCTACCTCTGACACGGCGAAGAACACGGCAGAATCGAAGGAGCTTTGTCGGAACCCTCCGCACAGGTCTTGGTAGTCAGACGGCAGCATCCATCCTAGGTCCAAGCCATTTGCCTATTTTTTCAGGGATGAGTTAATGCAGAGGCGGGGAAAGGCGTTGCTTCATCCCGGGACAACACTACGAGGACCAAGGAACGCGGCAACTGGTTTGAAACAAAAACTGTGCATTTAGAAGCACAAACGTGGAATGTTTTCGTTGATCCTGATGCTCTTTGAAATAAATACGCTCTACTACCGGCAATAGTGAGGATCCTGCTTTTCGATCCTTGCACCTAGGCATAGGCTAGGTACATGAGCGCCACAGCTTCTCGCTGATGGAATCCACCGATATCGAAAATATCCTTCACCCATTCCGTTTCCACCCGCACAAGTGTCTGTCAGTAATCTTTGGCGCGAATGGTCGAAAAAATGAAACAAAACAACGCCGCTCAGCCCATGAAATGAAAGACCCGCATCAAGGCACTCTTTAACAGCAGGTGTAGCACGGTCGGCGTGTTTTCAGCCCCACCCAATGCACCCGCTGCTCTGCTGCTACGCCCCTGTTGCGTAGTACCTGGAAATAAAGGTAGTCTCCGAACGCCGTCAAAGAAGTGGGGGACCCGCTTCTCTCGCCGGGATATATGTCTTTCACAAGAACCGTGCCAGCGCCCGTACCGTCAGTGCGCCACAACTCCGCACCGTGTTCTGCATCGGTTGCCTGAGGGATTTGGCAAGGGTTGGTACATAAATGAGAGGAGGTCAAACCATGAGAAGATTGGCGTCGAACATCGTCCACTTGGCACGATATGTCTTGCGTCGAATTGAAATATGGTTTTGGCAAGTACCACAAACAGAGCCGGGCAACAAGTTGCTTGTCGGTGCTTGTCGGTGCGGAACGACGGCTGGCTGCCATCCGATTGAGTCGGACCATCCATCCGGAACATAGTTTCTTGCGTCTTGCAATGAGGCCTGTGCGAACGACACCCGGGCGCATTGGTCTACCTAACACCATTTCACCCCATATCTTCACACGCAACACCCACCTGGAAGTACAAATAGCCGCCCCACACCACGAAATCCCTCGGGGATCCGTCTCCAAGTCCCTCGTTTAGGTCCAACACTAACGCCTCTCTCCACTCCAGCTCGGACCCTCTCCCCCATCTCCCCGCATCTCTCCCAGGAAACATCCCCTGGCTCGTCCACAGCTCGATCCCTTTCCGGTTCGGGAAGTACGCTGACGCCTGCACGGCAGCGGCGAAAGAGCCCCGCCACCTCGCCCCGTCCAGACGTCGCTCTTCTCCCTCATCTATCCTCAAGATAACGTTGCCGTCCTCTGCGTAGGGCAGCTGGATACTGGGTGGGTCGTTGACGGCCAGGACCGTGATTGGTGCGGTAGCTGCCCCTCGTGAAGAGACTCCGGTGTACCCGGTTGCAGCACCAAGCTGGGCTGACTGGCCTGCTGCGGCGCTTGTGGCGGCACCGATCGAACCTTGTCCGGAAGAACCTTCATCGAACGCCTCTACCCTCACCCAGGCCCCGCCGCCGAAATAGTTATCCGTGGGTCTGAACGCCAATGTTTGCAGGGCGGCGTTGGCGTCGGCAAGAGGCGTCCTGAAAGTGAAGCTTTTCCGCCCCACCCCCATACCCTCGCCCTCCCAAGGAGCCCAGTCCCCGGTTACTTCGTTGCGGAAGAGGAGCCCCGTGAGGTCTGCGCCCATTGAGTTTTGCTCCTGGGGGTGGCGACTGTCCCCTGGTCCCACCCCGGCTCGAACGCCATGCCAGGTGATGGAAGCCGTGCCATGTCCGCATGTCACCGTGACTGTGACCATTGCGCTCTCTCCACCACCTTCAACGAGATCAACGTCGCGGATGACAAAACCCGGGAGCATTAGCTCGCTGTCCTCTGCCACAAACACCCGACTTCCGTAGCGTGCGGCAGGGGAAAGGAGGTCCCCGGTGCGAAGAGTGGAATGCCACAGAGGCGAAGGAGGGGTAACTACGGGGGCATCGTTCACGGCGGCTACCCGCACAAACATCGAAACCTCGACAGCGACATCAGACCCCGGGGGCGTGTTTTCGTCAGCGTCTTTCCTGCTGCTGCTGCTGCTGCCGGCGCCGCTCGCTGCCCCGTCTGGCGACGATTCAATAACGCTGACGTGAACACGATCGACCCCGTTCCAGTTTACATCCGGCCAGTAGGTCATGGCACCCAGGGCGTCGTTGCAGTCATGCAATCGTCCCGTGAACCTCGCTTCTCGCCACCACGGCACATGCAGATCCCCTGAACCCACGCTTTCGTTGGTGGCTACAGCAGCCGCCGATTTGTCGAGGGTGGATGGAGCGAACTTCGCTCCCTGGGTGAACGGGGTCATGCTCTGCCCCGCCGAGCCGCCCACAACGCTCTGCTCTAAGCCCACGGCCGTGGCAGGTTCGAAGGCGAGTCTGGCTGACCGCGGGAAAAATACTCTACCATTGTCGACCTTGACGGTCACCTGGAACATCCCGCCGAAAACGTCTGCGGGATAGTCGTCGTATGGCGTTCTCGAAGAAATGCCGAAGATCTGCCGGTGAAGCTCTCTCGGGTTAACATCGGCATCGTAGAGGGTCACATTGTGCAGGACCACCCGTGCGTCCTCCCATACATCTAGAGGAGGAGGCGGGGCTGTTGCTCCCGCCCCTGCCGCCCCCGTGGCAGTCACCAACAGCAGGGGGGCGTCCTGTTGTGGGGCCACGTCGATCGGGATGCCCCGTGAATCGGTGCCCGCCCCCCCGCTACCGGAGAAACCCCTGTCGTTAACTATCACTTCTACCTCGTCCGATCCGCTCCAATCAGGGTCAGGGGTGTAAGTGAGCCTGGCCAGAGCGGCATTTACGGAAGACAAGGCTCCACGCATGGACAGCAAGCGCTCTCCTTGTTGGTTCTCCCCGTCGGGCAGGAACAAGATGCCCGTGGGGGGCAACCCGGACATTCCCGCGAATCCCAGAGAGCCGTGCTGCGCTTCGACGTCCACATCGATCTGCGCGCCCGGCCCGGCCTCGTGAAAGTCGGAATCTTCGATGTAAACGCCCTCAATCGCCAACGTCTCGTCTTCGTTCGTCTGGATTCGATCCACGGTGGTGATGCGACGACATTGCCGGCCGATTGCAGGTGGGTGCTGCGGAGACGGCAACCCGATCTTCCCCGATTGTGAGTCGCATGGCTCTTCGACGTAGGTCGCCCCGGGCACGTGCACTTGAGGGGGATCGTTGCGTCCGGAGGCAACCACCACCACCAACCGCACGTGAGAGGACAGGCCTGAAGGGTCTTCTGCTGAGAGATGGATCCCGTCGGCCTGGGCAAGCAGTTCGGTACACACGTCGAGACCATTGTTATAGTGTGTATGGCAGACTGTTTTCAAGGTAAAGACAGCCACAACGACAGCAACAACAACTTGTTCTGTCGATGGTACACGCCGTGTAAGTGAGTTCCCCCTGTAGCGATATCTCGAAAGCTTCCGATAGACGGCCGTACGTGATGCCAACTACAGTTAAGGATGGATTGGTGCTGCAAGGACCGGCCGGGTCATTTTTATTTCTCGAACAGTTGACTTACAAAACAGTATCACGCCTCACAAACCTGTTTGAACGAAGTCCAGTCCGGAGGGGGGTAGTATACCAACCCCGTAAGGGCCAAGTTCACGGCGGCTTCATCTCCCGTCAAGGCAAAGGCGCCGTCTCCCTGTCCATCGTCCCCTATCCCCTCCTCAACCTCCAGCGAAGATGAAGCATTCGCTGCGCTGGGAAGCCCCACTCTTCCCTGCTCCGCCCACACATCCACCCGAAGATAGATTTCATCGTCGGGATCCGTGACGGAGACACCGGCCACAGGCATTGCCTCGTCCTCCGCCGCCATGAGGGGGAACGGCGGAGCGGACCATGAGGGACGGTCCGGCAGAGGGTTGACCACGATCGTCAGCGAGTGGTTGCTCGTCAAGCCAGGCCTGTCTCCGGTGCTTGCCTGGTTGCGTCAGTTGCCGGGGGTGCTACGAGTGTTGGTGGTCCGGTTGCGTCGGTCGAGTGTCGGACGAGCGAAAGATGGGCACTCGGCGAGAAAATAGGCACGTGAGGAACGTGCCATTGGGATGCTGCCGCACGCAGCTAAGACAACTATACTTTGCTTGAATGAGGAAGGCGGAACCTCAAGTTTAGGAGCACAATACCGTGATATTCCTCGGACGCGTGGAAATTACCGCGGTCATTGAATGAGGGGCTAAGCTCACTAGAGAGTCATTCTTGCGCTTGTTGTATGGTCTCTGTCAACGTCTTAAAGCAGGAATCACGCGGATGCTCTTTGGACGCCTTGCCTCATTGCTCTAGACGCCGACCAACACCATCAGAATTGCCAGGCAACACAACATTACATCAGCTTCCGTCAGCAAGCAGTCCTACAAGAAGGGTAGTGGTCCCCACCTCAGTCGACCAACCACGGTCATCGGCGACAACGGTCAGGGTGTCGTTCCCATGCCAGTCCTTATTCGGCAGGTACGTCATGGCTCCCAAAGCTCCATTGGCGGTGCTCAAGCCCGCGTAGAATGAGGCTGTGCCGCTGAACGACACGTCTCCCGCCCAGACAGCTGTTTCTCCAGAGACGAACCTCAGACCAGCCGCGGGCGAAAGCGTCAGGGTGCCGTAGTCGCAGCTCAGAACGACCAAGATGTACGACCCGACATGCTCGTCGACGTCCACGTCTGCGTTCCGTTTGGACCGTTTGGTGGGGATTTGCTTGAGAGGTGCGTCTTTCAAACGATTGTTGTGGGACGTGTTTGGCAATGAGAACACCATGCGACGCCCGCCCGGGCGGTGATTTAGGCAGAATTCCGTCACGCAAAGGATCGTTGCAAGTACAACCGTCATCAACAGGTTTTTCCCGGTTCGGGGGGGTTGAGTCTGATCTGCTGTACAATATAACTCGGGGGAGACTGACGTGTCAAAACAGGGGGGGGGGGGCATGTAGAGGCTCATCGTATGAGTAAGACCATTACCATGCGGCTCTGTAACGTTTTCGAGTCTGATCCAGGTCCCTTGCCTGAAACAGACACCGACGGTACGTCGAGCAGCGTATCCTCGTCCACGACCAAAGAGTGTGTGAAAGCCACACCCAGTTCCTCGATGTCGGGCCAAACCACGGACAGGTTGCGGTGGAACACTTGTCCCGGAAGATGGACCCGCGGTGGGTCGTTGACCGCCTTGATCTCGATCCTGCGAATGATTAAAAGAGCGCGCCGGGGAAATGGCACGCGTTGGTCGTCTTTTAGGTTAACGGTAATGGCGGAAGGCTACTGCTCTTGGAGTGACCACGTATTCCTTAGCTTGCGAAGTTGACTAACGGCACACACGGTACGTACGTGTTCCTCGCACACTTGGTTAGGACAACCATGACTCCGGGAAACGATCGGATCTGGTTCGTCGCTACCCGATACAAAGTCAACCGACTGAGTTATATCAAGTGCAACACTTGTTGAGTCGACACCACAGAAAACTTCATGTCCAAACCCCCCTCGTTAGCCTGCAGCGGGTGCTTTCATGACGTCATGGCCAGGCGTAGCGTCTCTGCTTGAACGAGCAACTCACCATAATGTATGGGTACTCTCGACGCCGAAAGGTTCAAGACCTCCTAGGCCGGCGTGGCTGTTGCTAGCCACAATGGTAACTTCGTTCGGCCCTTTCCCGAGGGTGTTCCAGTGTCGGTCTCCGCGGTAGATCGTACCGAGCAGAGCTCTGTTGACGTCACCAGGGTGGCCGGTGAACGAAACGAACTCGTCACCGTACCCGCTGCCAGACTCGAACGTGAGACCAGCTACCGTCGACAACGTGAGCTGCGCGTGAGGGGCTGAGAGCTCGATGCGAATCTGTATTGTGTTGCAGAAAAAACAGGCAGAAATAAGACCCGGCGAACGGTGCGACGTCCGAGGGCGGTCAATTTTTCGTTGTCCTCGTTTTGTTCCCTGCAAGTCGTTTCTGATCACGGTGCGAGCATATTCGACGAAAGTCCTCAACGACTAAAACTACTCGCCCTATCTGCGCATAGTTGTGAGCACCGGCAACGGTAGAAATGTTTTTACCCCACCTCGCCGGGCCAGGGTCCGCCGAACACGACCACTCCCTCGTCTTCCACATCGCTGGGGTTGGCATCTAAGTCGCCAGTCGTTATCTCGCCCTCCATTTCTCCCTCTCGATAAAAGCCGTCCCTCTCGACGATTGCCAACCCTTCCAGCACCAGATCAGTATCTTCAGTTGTTTGTATGAGGCCGCCCTGGGGTAAGTACACCCCTGGCACGTCTGGCTCTGGAAGAACTTGTATCGGGATTGTCAGGGTGTCGCTCTGGTGGGGGAGCAGAACACGGGGGAGGATATGCACGGTCAGGGTGGAATATAGAGCGGGGTGTTGAGGAAACTCATCACCCAACCAGACATGCCTGTAATGCCTGTACTTCTTGACATGTTGGCACATCAACATGGTTCCAAAATAAATTAGGCTGGCTGCAGTTCGACATTCCTTACATTAGATGTTGTATTGTTGTCTCAAGGGAACATTCTCGCCCCCTCGGCCGAACAAGTGCGGTCTGCACCATGTCTGGTTTGTCTACTCCTAAAGTGCTCTGAGCACTGTGAACCCTACAAGTGACACACGCGCTTGAGCCTGCTGCCTGGCACCGTTCGCTTGGCATCGACATAATGTACAATGCAAATTCCGCCGACAATAGACTCAATACCTGAGGACAAGGCGGAGGGTCACCGCCGACGTCGACGCCACCACCCGACGAGCTGTCTCCGCACAGAGCCCCTCGGCCAAACCTTCCGCCATCGTCCACAGTCACCACGAGGTCATCGGTACCGTAGAAGTCTGGCTTTCCTCGATAAGTCAGCCCGGCCAATGCCCGGTTCACGCCGTCCAAAGACGCTCGGAACGACATTATCCCATCGTCCACGCCATCACCTACAAGAAACGTGCACCCGGACACTCCAGTCCCGAGGGAAGTCGTGCCGTTGCTGGCAAACAGCGTAATTTCCAGAAGGCGGCGGTCTACGAACCCAGGATCGCCACCGAATGTAGACGTTCCGTAAACCCCGAGGTCGACATCTCGCACGGACAGCCCAGGGACGGCAAGGTCTTTGTCTTCGCTGACGCTGAGCAGATCCACCGAATCGACAAGGTTGGAGAGCCCGTCGTGTGTTAGCCTCGACGGGTTGTAGCTGGCGGAGGCCATTTCGAGGACGGGCGGGTCGTTCTCGGGGAGGACGACAAACCGGAGAACTGCGGCCGCTGTGGTCCCCTCAGAGTCTGTTGCTTGAAGGGAAATCTCCTGTGATGGGTAGCAAGCGCCGTTAGACAAGGGAACTCCAGGTTAGACAATAGATCGTATTCACATAAGGTAGTTCGAAAGACCTCTCTCCCTCTCACGGTTGTGATGTCGATACAACTCCACCGTCATAGTAAGGGTAGAAGTTGTAAATTATTTTTCTGGTTCCAGTTGATTCAGCGTCGAAATATGTTGAAACATGGAGCTCGTTGTGGTCAGCGCTAAAGACGAAGCCTTTCACTGACTATGCACCTACCTCAGTTACGACAGGCTGAACCTGATTTCCACCCGACCCGACCCAGCTGTTCCAGTTGAGATCGGTCCTGTAGAGGATTCCCTTCAAAGCGTCTGCCACCGCCCACAACGGCCCACTTAGTCGCATTTCAGCAGCAAATTCTGAAGAATTCACGCCTGATGTCTGGGCTGAAGAAACGACCACAAGCGATACTTCGGACGGCGCACCAGCCAGGAGAACGCCACCGTGCGAGACTTGAACCGTAACCTCCACGGTGTCGTTGGCCGAAGCAGGCGGTGACGTCGACGACTCGTGCGTCCACCGGCTCTGCGGAGGTTGGGGGGTGGTTCCACCGGGCGCATAGACCGTATCGGCGTCTTCGAGCACGATGCTGGAAGCTGAGATGGTGGTCGAGTCGAGGATGTTCGTGTCTAACCAACCGACGTGATCAATCCCCACAACGCCGACGCGGTCCTCTTCCGCGATGAGGTACGAAGAAGAAGAAGGAGAGGAAGCGTCTGTGATCGGGACCGTAAACGTCGGCGGATCATTGACAGGTTTGACTTCGACCGCCAGCAGGAGCTTGGAAGTCTGGGAGCCGTTCGCGCCCTGGAGCGTTTTCCCGCCATTTCCGCGGTCGTCAACGATCGCCTACGAACAAAACGAAAACGGCGGACAGAAAGAGGTACCCAAGTTTAGGCGGCAGTGATTTGCTGCCACGGCATGGGTTGGCGCTCCTGTGGTATTGTGTACGCTGTTGAGCGAAAGGTTAGTTCCGTGGCTGGACCAATGTAAAACTCGACAAACTAATACTTGGGTGACCATGGGCCGCTTGAGCTTGACCCCGCCCACACCAAGCAAAATACGTTGCGAATTCGTGCAGACTATCCAATCGTGCACGTGCGCCAAGACACGCATGAGGCGATCAAGGTTTCGCAGAGAGTCGCCTCGTTTCTCAGGAAAATTGTCATTCGTTACGTGCTTTTAACGACGACGCCCCCTTACCTCCACCACGTCGATCCCGTTCCAGTCGGAGCTCGGCGTAAAAACAATCCCTTCCATCAGCGCGGCATTGATGTTGGAGAGTGCACCGGTCACGGACAAGATCTGCCCACCACGGTCGAGGTCACCCTCCACGACCTCTAAGCCCCCGTGCCCTCCGCCCAACCGGAGACTCCCATACGTACATGACAACGAGAGGGCGACCTTTGGCTCCACAGCAAGAAGTTCCGCGCCGTTACCCATACCGTCAGTGCTGACCGTCCCGAAAAAACCGTCAGGTCGGTTAAGCAGCGCCCCTTCCGCCTTGGTGTCAACATCCCAGATAGACACACTGGAAATTATCCGGACAGTATCTTCTTGGGTTAAGACGAGGAGCGCCGAGGTCTGCTCGTCGCCAGGAGAGGATTCTCCGTCCGTAAGCGTAACCTCCTCGAAGCCCGTGGCCGTAAAGACTGGAGCGTCGTTTACCGCTGCCACGGACACGTGGAGGTAGTAGGTCATGGGGTCCGCAGGCATTTGGAGGCTGTCGTCCCCAAGATCGGTGACAGTGATGCTGATTCTATCCCAGCCGTGCCAGTCCTCGGCAGACACGTACACTAGCGAGCGGAGTCCAGCGTTCACTTTCCAGGAGGTGCCCGACACGGTCGCGGGTGTCCCGACCACGGTATCGGATACCATGCCCGCAATTTCTCCGGTCAGTGTAACGAAACCGTGCTTGGCTGAAATTTCCACCTGCAAAATAGTTCCGAGCGTGAGCTGAAACGGTTATGTTTCGCGCTTCTCAGGACCAGCAACGTCAAAGGAACGACTGGGTTTTCGACCTATTGTGAAAATACAAAACAGTATGCACCAAGCAGCGAGTACGTACCGCCGTGCTCGTGGTATTCTGCCTCGAAAAGAGCAACGGGTTGGGCCATGACATCTCATGGTCAACGCAAAGCTTCGGCAGTCATTGACGTGTCGTCTCACCTGCATCCTCGACCCTTCTCCGTCGGGATCGTGCACAGTCAAGCCCGCGTCAGGACCTCCTAGATCGGTATGATCAAATAAGACGGGCGTTGCGGGAGTACCCCCCCCCCCACAATCGAAGTCCACCAACCTAAAAGGAGCATCCTCGTCCACACCATCAATGATCGCACCCCCCGAGTTTAGCACGCTCCCACACCATAGTAGTTCGGGCGGGTTATTTACCGCCTCAACGGTCGCGGAGACCTTTCCCCACCCGGATTGCGCTCCGCCCGCACCGGTGAAGCCGCCATCGTAAGCCCGAAGCAGAATGTCAGCGCCACCGTTCCAGCCATGCCTTGGCGAATACGACAGGCTTGCGAGCATGGTCGTGATTGCAGCCGGCGTACCCCGTAAAGCGAGACGCTCCCCCGTAGTGTATCCCGGCAGGCCAAACGCCGCCCCGCCTAGATCGACGAGCCGTAGAATTGCCCCCCTACCGCCATGGCGCACAAGCGTCGCCGACGCCCGGGCGCTTCCTCCAGAGAGTCCGGTCGTCGAAGTTCCCGTTGCGGAGAGGTTTGATGGGACTTCGGGGTCACTCAGGAAGGCGATGGACCATCGCTGGCCTCCTTCCAAACTCGTACTCTGCAGTCTTGTGGCCTCAACTACCCCAATTCCTGAATCCGACGAATGCAGGGATTCGAGGGCATTGAGTGCAGTAGCGATCTCGGTTCCCGAGCTATCGTGCGCCAGAGGTGGTGTGACCTCGCCTCCGTACGAGAGATAGAAGAATCCCTGGACGCGGTTGTGTGTCGAAGCCACCTCGGCAGAAACTACGGCGCCCCCCGCGAGGTTGGTGCTTTGAATGGTCGGCGGATCAAGGTCTTGAGGAGTGCCGAAGAAGGTGATAGTCCACGTTGCAACGTTGCCGTTCGCAGAATCGACTCGCTTGACCGTTACCCGCGCAGCTGGCCCGAGCTCGCCCCAATTTTCTAATGACAGAAGACGAGCTTCAACAGATTCGCCGCGTTTTTTTCCTGGAACGCCCCCGAAAGACCAAAAACCTCCATCCTCGTCGCTTACAGGTCCAACCGCTCGAGGATGTATCGGTCTCGTCCACGCTTGTCGCCCGCCGTAGTCGAGCCCAAGGGTAAAGTGACCCTTGGCTCGGAGGGCGCCTGTCAAGGTGATGAACACGACCAAGTTCTGGTGTGCCGCTGACGTTTCCACCTCCCACACCTCCGCCGTACCGATCCCACGCACCGATTCGACCACTCGTACGGCGGCTCCGCGGCCACCGAGTGCCCGTCCGTCCACCTCCATGAGCGGTACATCGCCGCCCGCCTCTAACGCGTCAAAGAATGTCACCGTCCATTGCCGTCCGCCTTGAGGATCGACCGGGTGACGCATTGTTACACCCACTGCCGTGACCGAAGGCAACTCTTCAAGCTTGGCAGCCACATGTTGAGCCTCTGCATCGTACGAAATCATCTCCGTTTGATAGCCTCCAAGCGACAGGGCGATGCTGCCCGAGAGAGAGTTTCCCTTCACAGCGTACGCCACCTCGATGAAAGGATCATTTCCCGCTAGCGAATCGCCGATGGCTTTCATCATCGGCAGGGAGGCAGGAGCGTCGAGGAAGGTCACCCGCCACTCGCGTCCGCCCTCCGAACCAAGGCCGGTAGCCCGTTGACAATGTACGGAGACCCCGAGCGCCTGCAAGGACGGGAGGGCCTCGAGTTTGGCTTGGACGGATTCCCCGGGCTCACTGCCAGAGCCTAGCCCCACGTGAATATCCTCTTCGTTTCCGACAGCATCGTGCCAAATCGGCCTGGTTTCCTCCACTCCACAGTCTTCGCAGAGGCCCGTTAGATCCATCGTGAGGTTGAACATCCCTTCCACCGTCGAGTAGCCATCGTTGTATGTGGAACGGGTAGTAATGGTCTGCACGGGATGAATGCTTGTTGCTGATGTCGTGATGCTCTGTACTTCCAGTACGGCCCGGTGGCTGGTGCTAACGTTCACCTCCAAAAACCCCTGAGTCGAATCCTCCACGTCAGCATCGTGTACCTCTATACCAGCCATCTCCCCCACTCTTTCCAAGACACCCCCTTCCTTCAAGGACATCTGCTGCGGATTCGTGATGGTGACTTGAGGAGGCGAGTTTACGTGGCTACCGTAGACTTCGATAATCTGTGAGCTTATACCGCCATCATCATCCTCTACGGCTACCCTCACAGCAGGAACGAGAGCTCTCGATAGTCCTGGATTTTTCAGGATGATGGCCGACGCGGAAATAGCGCTTGCAATGACTGTGGCGTTGCCGCGGAAAGCGAGGACCGGGCTCGGCAGACCATTGGCAGACCCTCGGAAAAATTCTAGTCCCCTGCCGTCAGTTCGGACAACAAGACCGTCACCTTCTGCGAGGACCTCCAACTCCACGCCTAGAGTTCCCCCTTTAGCAAGGTCATTATCGACAAACCCGAGCCCACGCAGAGAGAACCCGCCAACCTCTGGCGACTCCAGGTTCGGGTGAGTCGCATTCCACGTGATTTCCGGAGGCTGATTCACGGGCAGCACTCCCACTGTCAGCTCGTGGCGGGCGGAGTAGTTGGTGGTTCTCCCTTGCCTAGCCACCTCCACCGTCACGGATTTGTTCCCGAGCGCTGTCGAACCGTTGGCGCTCAAGTAGACTACGGCCTCAAGCGCCGCGTTCACTGCAGAAAGAGTCCCACGGAACGATAGCGTCGGTCTCGGTGTCCCAAAAATGCCTCGTAGACCCTCGCCGGCGGTGATTGCCGCCGCTGCCTTGAGCGCTGTGTCGCTTCCGGGCACAGTAGATAAGCCCGCTGGAACAGGAAAGAGCCCAACCCCTCCCATATCCGCCGAGACCAACACGGTGAAGACCGGAGAAGATAAGCCACCCAAGATGGCAGCGTCTTCTACAGAGTCGGTAACACTTAATCCCGCCAGAGAGGTCTGCATCCCCTGGCCTGCGACGAACGTATCGTTTGTGGCGGTGATAATCGGCGGAACGCCCGGGTCTGACACCACGACCACACACTCCGCCGATCCCGTGGCACCCTCGCCGTCTTCGGCGGAAAACGTGACAACGCTTCCACCTTCCCAGCCTTCGCTTGGAAGAACAAACCAAACGTAGGAGAGAGCTTTCCTGACGTCCGGCAACAGACCCGTGACGGACACCCCAGTAACGGTCGCATCATCTTCTCCCCAGATTATTGAAATCAAGGTTTCCGGCGAATGATCCACAGTTATTGATCCGGTTTCTGCGGTGATTGAGACCGATAAAGTCTCCCCGGTGATTCCGTCGACGTCGTTGATTTCTACCCCCTCAATGGGAACCGGTCCTCGCTCGCCCGAGCGACGGCGTTCTCTAGGCGCTGCCACAGTCGGCGGGTCGTTAACTGGAGTAACTTCGAGAGACATGGAGGAACTAGCCGACAACACCCCCCCTAGACCAGATGCGCCCCCGTCGTTGACTTCGAAGTTCACCGCGACAGAGCCGAAAAAGTCGGCAGACGGCGAGAAGTGCAACCCTTCGAGGATTGTGTTGGCCTGGTCGAGCTCGCTGGTCAGAGAGAGGACGGGGGCACTCTCGGGTTCAGGTAACTGCGATGGGAACAACCTGGGTCCAGGTTGACTCAAAGATAGTCCTCCCGCTTCGGGTGGGTCGACAGAGGCGCGCACCTGACGGTGAAAGCCATAGAGGGGCGTCATTGCCGGACAAGAAATGGTTAGGTCCCCCGGGAGGTACGTTTTTCGATGGGTGAGTGAGGAAGACAATCCTCCTGCGCGCTAACTTTTACCGTAACTGTGGGTGTTCGCATTTGCTTCTTTCTGTGGTTGCGCACGGTTGTGGAGATCGGACATACCTCGATCGTGCCTCGTTTGGTCTCGTGCACATCGGGGTCGGTCACGAAAACTCCTGGGATTCTGGTTGGGCCTGCATCCTCTTCCACCATGATGGTCCACGCGGGACATATCACGGACGGGGCGTCGTTCACAGCTTCCACGACGACGTATAGCACAGCTTCGGCCAGATTGTCGCCGTTGGATGACAAGACCTCAACCTGCGGCCGGAAAAAAGTGGGGTGACTTTGTTGCTCACGAACAACAATCCGACCACAACGAGCCACCCAAAGACATCCGCTCAAAACGCACACCGAAACGAACAGCAATTCACCCCGTTCACCTTTACGTCGGCGACCCCGTTGTAGAAAGGATCTCCGTTGAATACAGCTCCCTCCAAAGCCATGTTAATGTCTAACTCCTTCCCCGTCAAGCTCATCGCTGATCTTCCTTTTCCCTCGACAATGACTCGGGTGCTGGCTGCCTCGCGTACGGTCACGCTCCCATGAGCTGTCTCGAAGTTGACGGACAAGACTATGTCTGAAGTGTTTCGTCGGCCGGGAGCTCGAACTTTGATGCCAGCCATGTCGATGCCGCTCCCTTCGACAGTGCGGAACAAAGGACCACCGTCGAAAATTACGGCTGCAGAGGCAAAGGTGGGGACGACGTTGATGTGCAACTCAGCCGTTTCGTTTTCGGTACCGCTGTGAATCGCCCCCTGCAAGGCCGAGTTTTCGCCTCCAAAAGCACCGTACGGAGAATCGGCGGACACGCTGAGCGAGACTACGTCAAGCCCGTCGTACCCCGCGGAGGGCACGTATTCCAGCGCACCCGATTCCAAGGCGATTTGCAAATTTTCGACGCTGCCACGTGCCATCAGCGCGCCTCCAGTCTCCTCCGTGTAAACCCAAAGCCCGGGTTGTGTCTTGTTCATTGCGATGGTGCCACCTTTGGCGGTGGAATGTGCACGTAGAGTAACTGTGCCACTCGCGTATTCGTCCAACGCATCAACATGCTGCACCTCCACCCCGTGTAGTACAAGCCGGGAGCCCACTTCAGCCGTTAGACCCTCGTGGGACATGTCAACGGCGATGGTTGGAGGGTCGGGTTTGGAAAACACAACAACATCTACTGAAGCGTTACTTTCCCCCTCGCCAAAGTGGTCGCGGACGGAAAGGGCCAGAGTTTCCACCCCGTGAAAGTTCGGCTCCGGAGTATAGCTGGAATGCGCCAGTGCCGCCGACACGTCGGTCACCGCCCCGCTTACGGTTAGCGATCCAGGGCCGTAACGAACGACTTCGAACAAAGTCTCGCCGTTGATCTGAGCCCCGCTCTTGGGCATTTGTATGAGGCCATGGTCTACGTCGAGGCTTGCATCCACCCACATGCCTTTCGCGGATGAAACGGTCCCAACGTCGGCTCTCAGAGTTATCCCGAGATCGTGCAAGTGGCCATCTTCGTCAACAGAAAGTGCCCCATGAGGAGTGTCCCACTGAACCAAACCACCGCGGCCGGCGTCGGCCAGCGGGTCGTCCTGATACCTTACGTCGATGGCCAGGCTAGCCGAAGCAATCTCTTCCTCTCCCTTGCCCCAGTTCCCGTGGTCAGAAACTGAAATAGATACGTTGTACAGGCCGCTGGGCTGCCGGAACGGGGTCGAAAACTGAAGCAGGTCGAGCGCCGAGTTGGCTAGGTGGAGAGGGGCTCGGAAAGAGATACTCGTGTACACCCCCTCAGCCGACCCTTCCAGGAAGAACACTCCTGGAAGACGGCCTTGAACGGTGGTATCGCTCATGGCCAGAGAAACCGTGCTTCCTTCACCCACAGCGCTTACGCTGACGGACACGAGCTGGCTTCCCCCGGGCTGTCCAGCGTCGGCATCATGCACCACGATGCCCCCCAGGGGTAGCACTTCGCCAGCGAACGCCAAGGGCAGCACCCCGCCGGCCAAGCGGTCGGGAATGTGGATCGTTGGTGGGTCGTTCACCGGATCGACGAGAATGACGATCGATTTTATGCCGGCAACTGTGTTCCACCCGGAATTACTGCCGATGGCGTTGTCGTTCCTCGCTCGTGCAACGATTGAAAGCTGGTCCGAACCCCAGACGTCAGCATCAGGTCGGTACACCAGGGAGCGCAAAGCCCGGTTGACGCGGTCCGTCTTTCCGGCAACGATAACACTGTGCCCCTCGTCCGTGCTAGTCCACAGTTCCGGCTCTTGCTCAGAGAGCAGCAGCGAGACAGCTCCCTTCGTGCAGACTATTTCTACCTGTACCGTGGACTCCACTGCCGAGTCCGACACTGAGATATGAAGAGCATCGAGCGACAGCTCACCGTCTTCGTCGACAGCAGGGTTTCTTGGGAGTGAAGCCAGCCGTCCCGCACGTGTGATCTTGGGCGGAGTGGAAGCTTCGACTTCGACTTTTACGATGCGAGACGCCGTAAGGCCACCCGCATCGACTACCTTGAGCGTGATCGAGTCGGTGCCGGAGAACTCGCTACTTTGCCCGGTGTAGGTGAGAGCTGACAGCGCGTCCGAGATGTCTTGAAGCTGCCCATATGCGACGATGCTGCTGTTGCTTACGGTCACATCCTAAGAGAAGCAAGAAAAGTGCGGGGGTGAATGTACCAGTTCAAATCGCAGCATCAGACGGAGGCCATCAGATCAACTAAGCACACAGCGCCATGGCATACACAAGGTGTTCTTTCTGTGATCCAAAAACACAAATGTCGTTCTTGCAGAAATCTTCGCTCAAACGAATATGACAATTCATCCACCTGTCACAAAAAAAGAGAATCTCCCACCTTTCCCGGAGCGCAGACTGCGAAAGGTAAAACCGAACCTCTGCACGCACCGTACTAGTGGTTTTGAGGGGGTTCTTGGTTTCTGTTTGTGTTAGACCCGCTTTGCTTGTCTCACCTCGAACGCACCCATTTGCTTCAATCGTTGCGAGTGTGGGAAGGAGACCAGCCCACGTGCCGCCTCAACTGTGATCGTGATGATTCCCGTGGAGTCATCGTCGGTGACGCTTATCCCGCCAACCAAGGTCGGCGTGGCTCCTTTGCTTGAGGCAGAACGAGGTGCAGAGAGCTCGGGAGGGTCGTTGACTCCATCAACGAAAGCGTACAGCTTGGTGGCTCCCCAGCCACCGTCAAAGCCAAACCCTGCTACTCTCGCGGCTACTTCCACATCATCGACCCCCCGATACCTTCGGGGAGCATAGTATCCGAGGTTTGACAATGCGCGGTTGATGTCCGGCAACTTGCCGCTCAGCAGGGTGGCGGTAGTGGATGGCATCGTAACAGCCAAGTCCTGTCCCGCTGCAGACGAGGTGGGCTTGACACTTCCTCTGGAACAGGTGATGCGCACAAGGTACTGTAGGCCATTGGAAGAGTCATCCCCAGCTGCTTCAAACGCAGGAAAGTGTGAAACCTGGAGGCTGGGGAGTTGCAACACGGTGCCCTCGAAAGTTCGCAAGAAGTCCTCCGGGTGCACCGTTCCGTTGTCGACTTGGTGCACTACCGGAGCCACGTGTTTGGGCACGATAGTGATGTTCCACGCCGCAGTTGCTTCGAGAGACCCCCCCTCGCCAACATTTCCGAGGTCGTTCACCCTGATCGTCACTGAATCGCGGGGTGCACGCCCCTTTGTCACCTCGAACACACGCAATGCTGTTCCCTCGGCATCAAACCCAACCCCTCTGGCGTCCAAGAGGGGCAGATCCCCGATTTGTATTGGGGACCCGGACTGCAAGAACGTGATCTCCCAGTATTGCCCCAACGCAGGTGTCGCAGGCGGCGAGGCCAAAATGGGACCTGTTGAAACTTGGACCGCTCCTACGTCAGCTAGAGAGGTGAGGGCTGCTGCCACTTCATCCCCGGAAGCCGACGTGGGTATAGGTCTGGTAGTCGCTTTCCCGGGGGTAGCCGTCAAGGTATACGTTCCGTTGGGGCCGGACAACGGCGATTGGGCCTGCACGACATCGACTGATACTGATGGAGTCCCCGACAGGATGGTGCCGTCGAAAACGTATTGTGATCCGTCGAGCCCTACCCCTGATCCCGTGAGGTTGTTCGCACCAACCCCCAGCGCCGGGAAGGAGTGAGGTACATCCATCATGGTTACCATCCAACTCACACTGCCGTGTACATCAGGCTCACCCCTGGACACAACCGCAGTAGCTCCACGATGAGGGAGAGCGTCGCGGGTGAAGTTTCCCGCTGATGAAGAATTTCCCGAAACGGAAGTTGCGTTCGACAGCTCCTTCAAGACGTTTGCCCGATCCCATGCTAGGCTGGCGCACTCTGAGAGAAGCTCCCTCACCCCGGTCTCCATCGACCCATTCCCGTTTGCCGGGGCGTCCGCGGCGATCGGAGTTGATTCAACCGTTGTTTCTGACGAGTTGATGGTAGTTTGGTTGACAGCGTTGACGTCCGCGAAAATATTGTCCACCTCCTCGAAAAAGGCACTGCAGTCGACCGAAAGGGTGAAGTTGCCTTCGATGTATCCCTGAGTCGTCGACGTCGTTACCGACTGCACCATCGGGACGATCGGTGCCGTCAGCTCTACTCTCTGCACCTCCAATGTTGTTCTCACTCCCGCCGTCGTCCCTGCTGGGAAAACTGGCAGCGGCCGGTAATAGACCTGCCGCATCGCATTTTGCACCGTCTTAAGGGGCCCCTTGACCACCAGGCGCTGAGAGGAATGTGGGCCCCGTGACCCCGACATGAACGTCAAGCCAGCGCTGTCCCCAAACGCCAGCGTGCCGGACATGGCTTCAAGCTCCACCCGTACAGGAGTCCGAGGTCTATCCGCCAAGTCGGGGTCCAGAATTTCGGCGTCTTCCAGTAGCAGCTCCTCACCTTCGTGCACGAGCCGGGCTTCCTTGCCTAGGTCAATCGTGGGAGGGTCGTTAACCGGGGCGACGAACACTTGTGAAACGCTCCTGGCCTTGGCTCCCGACAAAGGCTCGCTTCCGTCCAAACTGTTCTCGTCGTACCAATAGGCGGATACCTCGTCGTGACCCCCAAGCCAAGCGTTCCACAAAGTACGCGGGTGGTAAACAATCTCTGAGAGCGCTTGAGACACCTGCGAGAGTTCCCCTCTCAGGCGAAAGCTGCGCCGAAGCGACGCGACATGGATAGTTGGGGGTGAGAGCAGAGAAATCCCTTCACACCTCACGCACCCTCCCCAATCCTGGCTATCATTGAACGTCGGAATCGTGGAGCACCACCCTGGGCTAGACCCAACGGCACCCGCACACGAGAAATGCACGTCGCTCCCGTCCTGACCCGCCGCGAAAGGGAACTCGCAAGAGGTTCCGGCGGCCGCTGGTCCCGTGACTCCATCGGCACACCATGGTCCCGGGTCGTCGAAGTCCACTTCCACCAGTTCAACTGAAGAAATCCCGTTGTCGAATAGTGTCACTCCCCATTCAAACCCGTACTCTGCCCGCGCGTTCGGTGCGACGGTCACCTTTGCGTCCTGACCGCCAGACACACCCACCACCGCCGCGTGTAGTTCGTCCGCCGTTGCATCAAAGGGAATCGGTCCGGTGGTGTGTGTGCCGGCGACGTTGGTGCTACCCGCTTCGCCGTCAGCCGGAACCAGCCCCAAGCGAAACGTTCCACTGGCTGGCGACTTCCCGCGCACAATGCGGCGGATCTTCACCGAAGCATTCTCGAGAAGGCAGTCCGGGGATGTGCCATTGCCAGCCACGTCTTCTTCGCAAGGGCTAGCCAGCAGACTCTGTGGTCCTGGTGACATGAACGTCACCGTCCAGCTCCGGGAATCTCCAGTGCTGCTGCCGTGGACCCCGACCTCGCTGCGAATACCGGGTAGTTTCTCCAGGGAGAGAGCCAAGTCGGACTCGCTGATATTGTACGCTAGGGGGCTTGTCTGGTTGCGGCCGACGACAATGCTAAACGTTCCCGCTGTGGGGCTGGTGTTGGTGCTAGAGGTGGTGATGGCGATGCGCTGAATTTCTCTCACGAACGGAGCCGATCCCTTGACAGATCGCACCACCTCCACATGCATAAGCGTGGCGTTGGAGCTCACTGCAGACATCAGAGGTAGGTCTCCAGCGTTAATAATCCCATCGAGCCATGCGATCGAGACCTGGAAGTGGAAGGGCATCACAACGGCCACCAACAAGCTTGGTATGTGGATAAAGCAGTGTATTGCGTGCGATGCCCACTTGTTGAACAGCCCTCTATATCCCATCACAAGTACAGCAGTGGTGCAAGCCATCGGCATACGCGAATGCACCACGATGAACCTCTTACCGAATCCACCCCGCAGACCTCCGCATCGTCGCCAGCAATCCCATCGCTCGTGATTCCGGTGACATTGACCTCCCCTACCGTGAGGAGTGCTTCCAGGCGCTCTTTGAGCGTGGTGCCATCGCCCTGGCAAGGGCCTGTGGCAAACCGGCCGCAGGAAGGAAGCCCGCCTGGGTTCAATACGGTGTCTGCTGCTATAGCCTGTCGATGATACCACGAGCACGGTAGACGGACACATACAGACAAGGTGTTCCACCCAACCGGAGTTGATTGGGTGTTTCAGCCGTTGAGACACTGGAAGGAAGCAGTACTCACGTTAAGTTCCCGCAGAGCGTTATCCGACGGAGTTGGGAAGGGCTGCCATAGACTGGAGAAAAAACAAACTTGTCGGGTGGTCAAATATGCGAAGAGTTATCCGGGGCTCACTGCACGTACCTCAGGTAGAATACGCGACCTGTAGTACCTTGAAATTTTCTGTACGCGTTCAAACGGCCAAAACTACTCTGTTGGCATGGGCGCTCACCTCGGTTGTCTCTCCACGAAACGTGACCACGAATGAGGCTCCAGCTAGCGCAGCTTCAGATGGCGTCATCCCCGCCAGGGAGCATATCATGTCCTGCACCTCGGCTATCTCGGTAGGCAAAGGTGCGGCAAGGGACACCAAGTGTTCCAACGGTGGTGCCTCCTGCGCTTCTCGCTTTTCGACCCTGACCCTTGCCCCGGTGCCCGTGACATTGGCTTGCTGCACCCCTATCGTGGGAAAGGTCGGCGCTAGGGCTGCAATCTCGTCGACGTCTTTCGAAGGGTTGAGCGCGATTGACCAGCTGTAGCCGCCACCCACGAAAGGTCCCTTCCGCTCGACCTCCACCAGCAAACCAGCAGCTCGAACGGGCTGAAGCTCGGAAAGCGCGTCGATCACTGTGTCGACTGAGGCGTCATGGGCAAGAGGTGCCGTGGCCTGGGGAGCCTGTGGCATGTTTGTGGGAGGGGCCGGTGGGAGGTCATGTGGTATGAGGGGCATGTCTTGTCTGCCTTGGACGCACTAATGTAGCTTGAGGTACTCAACAAACACTCCTTCCTAGTAGCCGGCACGAAGGTCTAAGGGATGTTTGCTAGCCTCAAATCCGCAAAAAACAACGTTGATTGCAACAGTGTGCATGGAGACGCGTGCCAGTAGCTGCACACACGCCTTTTCCTTCTTTTTGAATGCAACATGAACAGCAAGACCGCACCATACAATCCTGGAACCATACACACGTAGAACACACACGTGCGCTTCATTTTCTCACCTCCCCTCGCACCCCGGACACCACCAGCGAAACGGATCCTCGAACAGGAGCCACGCCATTGGCTACCTCCGCAACGCGCACCACCGCATCTGTCCCGGTAACGCCGTCATGTACTGCTTGCATTGCCGGTAAGTCTCCGTTTCCCGAAACGAATGACACCGTCCACGCCAGTTCACCTTCAGCGGACGGGCCGGACCTCGATACCTGAACGCTGTTGATTCCTAGGCTATCCAGACTGGTCAATTCAGAGGCGAGCGCACCCGCGCTAGCGTGCACAGAAATTGGGACGGTTTCGGTCGGTTCCTGGAAGGCATGGCCCGGGTAGATCAACGAGAACGTACCCGAAATAGGGCTCGATCCAGCGATGACCTCTTGGACCTGTCAAAATATAGAACGAAAATCGTATATTAATTCCACGCTTTTATGGGGCGAGTCAGGAAATGACAGTCCGGTTCATTAAACGCCAAAATTAATACTCCGCGTGCGTCACGATATCTGTTTTTATCGACAATCGGACAGAGGAATCGACCATCACCCGAAACCATTCTAGGAGATCGCATTCTCCCTGCGCCTATTTGCAGTTGAGAGGTTCACGTTTGAATACGTTGCGGGCAGGTCTCAATCACCTCTATTCGGTTCCCCACAACGGCTTCGGCAGTGGAAGACCAAGTACTATTCTCGAAGGGTTCGCAAGACGCGCAAGTGAGGCGTGCCGATCGCCCCGTCATCCCGAAGGAGCCGTCTTGCCCAGTCGATGTCCTACCGTTCCACCAGACTGCGGCCATAAGGGGCAGGTCGCCACCTTTGGTCACGAATGTAACTTCCCATTGCCAAACCGCGTATGTCTCAACCGTGCCGTTAGATGGAGTCGAATAGGTTCGATTGGTGCCATCGGAAGCCTTCAGGACGCGAATGTACCCGATATCCGGCAGATGAGCGAGCGCTTGGGCCACCTGTCACGAAACGAAATCATCATAAATTTGGATCGTAGCACGAGTGGTCATGTCACCATCAATGCTGTGTCAACCTAGACGGTACATGTTGAGAAACTGTGATCATGAGTGCGTACTTCCGTGCGATCTCGGTACGACTTCATTGCCAATGCCGAGACACCCGTAAACAAACTACCGCGGTTGTTTGAAGTACAATAGTGGCACTGGATTTGTCTCAAAAGGCATCGTCCAAACAAAGACGATACGGACCGAGGACATTCCATGCGCACCTCGCCAGTCAGTTTAGTTTGCTTGAAACAAGGAGAGTCCGTAACCGCATTTTGGGAGCAACGTAATTGTACAGGTCTCCTAGCGACAGGAAGGGTTGGAAAATCACGAACCATGCGGGTGGAAATTTGACGTAGCATTCTATCTCACAACGTTACATCCCTTCCATCTGCGCCTGCTTGGAAAGTATGGAACCCAAACAGATGAAAAGACGTTTCTAGCGTCAATCCCCCCCCCCCACCGCTGAGGTGTCTTCTCTAATAGCGCCATCAAATGCGTTCTATTGTAGAGCATTTGTGTGAGCTACAACATGCCCGCGAGTGTCAACAGCACTCACGTGAGTTCTAAACATGACAAGCCGCGGGGTGTTTATTCTAACCCTAGCTCTTACCTCCTCGGCCGAAGAGTTGGCGCTAAGCTGAGATGTCCAGTACCTGCCATCGTGATCAGCATCAACGCGGCTTCTTTCTTCACCATCGGCCGATGGATCTGTGAACTCCAGACGGAAGGTGCCGGTTGTGCCCGTGCCTCCCGCCGCTCGGAGGGTTACACTTTGGACTTCGTTTGCTAAGGTTCCTCCCGTGAGCTCGTTGACTTCAACACTGATGTTGGTCGAGCTGCAAGGATGAACGCGCGCAAGTACCGTCCGGCGCGGAACGGGCGACGATGTTCAATGTCAATGTTTCACACGCGGAGAGGGGATGCATTTGAAAAGAACATAGTCAGCAAGCTGCTTGGCGTATATGACAAAGCTTCAATCTTTGGGAACGACGTGTGTTCTTTTAAGAACAAGAGTCACCCAGAAACCTGCCACGCGCATTTCCCCACCCTTCTTGGCTCATGTCGTAGTTGCGTTAACGCGGGAGGGTGACTTTTGATATCATCGTGACGAAAGTCTCACCTTCCGTCAAGGGTGGTGTCAGTGTCATTGCCCATGCCAGTTCCGTTCACCGTCCATTTCTCTGCAATAAGCAGTGGCACGTCGCCCCCGCGGCTCAGGAATGTCACGAGGTGTCGGCTGGCGATAGAAGTGTCTTCAACAGATGTGGCCGGCACGCGCCTGACAGACACCTTGCCAGCAGACGGTAGCGAATCCAACGCCGCTGCCAGATCGTCGGCGCTAGTCGTGGGGTCCAAAAGGGAGACCCCGGGCATCGACCCGGCGCCCCCGTTGACGTACGTACCAAAGGCTGTGCCGGTGTCGTTGTCTGGCCCTTGCAGGGAAAAGTATACGTCGGCTGTGGAAAGATCTCCCGGCGCGATAACGTCGATTTGCTGCACTTCGTATCGCCATGGGACTGTCGTACGTACCACCTGTAGTTCGTTAATGTTCCGAAGGATGCGGTCTAGGCTGATCGGATGTTTGCAAAGGTGGATGGGTACACTGATTCACAAGAAAAACACGGGTTTCTATTCGAGGCGGCAGATCGTACAACAGCCAGAAACAGTCTCTGCGAGCTGTTCTGAGTGGCGTTGTCTTGCAAGCACTTAGGCGTGTGCTGCCTCATGTTCATACCCAAAACATGCTCACGCCACGTCTATACTCAACCTTCACTTGCTACAACTAAACGCAGACAACCAACCTTGGCCGACAAGGTCAATGTTGGGTTTCCTGACCGCTCACCTGCACTTCTGGCAACGTCTGCTCAGCACCGCCGACGAAGTGAACCAATGTAACTGCTGATCCCCAGTCCTCCTTCGCTGCAGCCTCCGCTACCCCCGCGCTGCTGGGTCCTAGCGACAGATAGCCTTCCTTTGCCGACACGATGACTGCCAGCTGGTCGTCGACTACACTGGAGTGTGAAAAGGCTGCTTCAAGGCCCGGTAGGGCGACTGCCGCTCCTTCCGTGGTGCTCACAAGAGGAAGCATTTTCTCAAGCGCGAAAACGTCGTGGTCGAGTTGGCTGTCTAGCTCCGGCTTTCCTGCCTCGACGACGATCGAAGCGGTCGCGCTTTGCTCCCCTCCACTCCCAGAAAAACCCAGATCGCTCACGACCACCGAAATCTCTTCAATGCGATCTCCAGGCGCAAACGAAGTAGTACCGTCCGTAGTGTTTGGAGAAATCGTCAACGTTGCTAGCACGTTATTGACGTACTCCGGTTGCCCAAGCAGGCGTACGTGCTGCTCGCTGGGCCCCATGTTTCGAAGCCCGTTCTTCAAGGCGATGGTGGTGTCCACAGCCAGCGCACTGCCCATTGACGTGGACACGTTCACGTCCAAACGCCCGAGTCCTTCTGGGGCGTCCTCCACATCTGCATCCTCAACTCGAATACCTGGCACAAGCGATGGCTCGATCACTGCTTTCGAGGCCACGACAATCACGGTATCTGGCGCTTCCACGGTCGGGGGGTCGTTAACCCAACCCACAGAAACCTTCAACTGCGCGATGGACATTGACGGGTGTGGCTTCACGCTCAAACCGTCCCAGCCAACGTCCCCACCTGTGCCGTCTGGGGTGGCGATGGCGTAGATGCGGGCCAGAGCTAACACTCCTTGCCGCCTTGAAGACCGTACAGGAGTATCGTCGGCGAACGACATGTTGCGATCCCAGCATCCGAAGAAATACGGCCGCGGTTCGAATTGCAATCCCGCGAGAGCAGTAGTTAGCGCCTTAGGGGAGCCCCGTACACGAAGACGATCGCCGGTCAGCTCACCACTGTCAAGAACTTGGATGCTGTCGAGGCCGGGTTGCTGTATCGACACGTTACCGGACTTGGCGAGGATGACTACTTCCACCGCTGAGAGCTCCCCCACAGACCCGCCCGTCACTGCCAAGTCAGGCAACGCCAAGGGTGCGCCTTCAGGGGTGAAGATAGCAGAATTTTCCGACACGACGGAAGTGTCGAACGCGACTAGGAGAGGTGGGTCGTACGGTGCTACGTCTATCTCGAGAACTCCTGTCGTCGAGTGTGTTCCGCCGGCACCGCAGTTTCCACCATCGTCGACGTCCACTGTGATAACGTCATGCCCGGAGAAATCAGCCGCGGCGCTATAGAGAACTACCCTCCTGTCCAGCGCTGCTTGGAGAGACTTTGCGGAACCTTGTAGAAACAAGGTCTCTCCGGGACCAGCGGTGGGCCCGTCAACCACGCGCACCCCGATCGCGCTGTCAGCTACAATGGAAACATTGCCGAAGTTCGACTTGAGGCGCAGAGACAGAGCGTTTCTGGCTTCCACTCCTTCAAAATACGTGCACAAGTCTGACCTGTCAGCAGCGTCGACGTCGGTTATGGTGATGCCCATGACGGCGTCACCCGCACCCCCAGCGGTCATCTCGAGGACCCATCTTTCACCGTCTTCGCCGGTCGGTAGTTCAATCACCGGGGGGTCGTTGATCGGTCGGACATACAAATAAGTTTCGGCTTCCGTAGACAAACCAGTTTCGTCTGTCGCACGCAACGACAGCACGACCTGCCCTGCGAAGTCCTTCGGTGGGGTGTACTCCAGCATCTGGACAGCCGTATTCACATCCGCTGCAGTCCCTCGAAGCATCAGTTCCCCATGCTGAACTCCCCCTTCTACCCCTGCAGAGGCATCGCTCGAGACCTCGATTGATTTCCAAACCTCTGCCAGTGCAAGCTCCGGCCGGACCCCAATCTTCCCGTTGTCCGGCCGCACTTCCACGATGAGGATCGATCCAGGATCCGCGTCGGAAACAGTTGTGAAGTCTATCTCCAACTTCGTGTCCTCGTCGAGGTAGTGCACCGTCCAGGGAAAGTGTAATTCTGGCGTGTCGGCAACCTCGTCGACAGCCACAAAAAACAACGCCGAAGATTCGAGAGCAACCTGCCCCTGCTGGTGTCCACCGAGATCACTGATCCAGACCTGTACTTCGTCGACCCCACTCCATTGTTCCGGTGCCTGGTACTTGAGGCCTTGAAGTGCGCGGTTCAGCTCCAAGAGACCGCCACGTGCCCAAACCTCATGCGAACCCTCTGGATGATCGCCGTTGAGTAGGTACAGCCCGCCAGCCAGAGACAGCGGCAGGAAGAGCTTGCCCTCTTCCACGACGATCTTAACTTCCATGAGGTCGCCGTCCGAGTCGCTCGAGTCGGGGTCATGCAGCACGATACCTCCGCCGTTGCTGAGTGGAATCTTGGAATCTTCTTGGCCGGCCCAGGTGTCGCCGGTTGGGCCTTGGATCGACGGTGGGTCATTGGCTTGTAAAACGTGTACTTCAAAGGAGAAAGATACGTAGCCTCCCTCCAACGACGCTGCGGGACTGTAGTCCCACGCTTCCACCTGCATTGTACGCGGTTTCATGCGAGGAATCGGAAATGACACCCTTAATAGTGGTACCATGCTCTCAATAGAACAAGCCGGAGGTTCAGCTTGCTGACAGCGAAGGCATTGCGTTGTTCCGAAAACAAGTGGAGACATTTCACGAAGAAGGCGTTTCCTGGTTCAACCATGCCAAGCATGACCTCAAGTCTCCCACTTCGAAACGCTTCCAGTACATTCCTTCTTTCAACATTAGCGTGCTGCGTTTTTTCGGGGTACCTCAGGGCCGTCCAACGTCAAACGTAGCAAGAGTGCGGGTATGGTATTGAAGACGTGACTCACCTCCACCACATCCCTACCGTAGGCGACGCTGTTCCAGTTCAGTGAGCTCGTGTACGTAAGACTACCAAGCGCATCGCTCACTTCGTCCGCGGTGCCTTCGAAAGAGACGCTCGATCCCGTCGCAGTAGGCGTTTCATCTGTTGATGCGACCGCCACCATACCAACTTCTTCGATGCCACCGTAACCAACGTTTCCGACCCTCGCAGAAACGGTGACCCGCAAAAACGGGTCGTCGATATCCGAAACTCCGAAGACCCCCAACGGCGATGACTCATCTTCGACCACGAACAGCACACCGCCCACGATAAGATCAAGCTCTGGGGGGGCTTGAATAAGAGGGGGGTCGTTGCTGGCTGACACAAGCACGTCAATAGACCAACTAGCCGAAAGCTGACTCCCCGTGCCGCTGTGGCCAAGATCATCCGCGGTCACGACTATTTTGTCTGTTCCGCTGAACTCCGCGACGCCCTCGTAGCTCAGTCCCGCAAGCGCAGCGTTCACGGGCCCCGTCTTCCCACGAACTTTCAACGAGCCCGGCAGAGCTTCCATGAGGTATAACCCCGCAACCGAGCCAATAAATTGTACGGTACCATTGGAAGCAGCCACGGTGATCTCCAATACTCCCCTTGGAGCATCGTCGCAGTCGGGGTCTTGCACTGCGACGCCATTCACCGTGATAGATGTGTCCTCTTCGGCTTCAATGGCGAGAGGCCCAGTGAGAGAGGGGCCGTCATTGATGGCGTCCACGATGATTTGGATGGTCTTGCTTGCAGACAAGCCGGCAGAAGATGGTTCCTGAGTACCAATGACGAGGCCAAGGGTGCCGCGGGTCTGGTTCATATGGTGGTGCATGGATCATCACCGACCGGGGGGGGCAATGTACCGTGAATGTTGTCGAGGTGGTTGCCATTTCCGCGATGGACATGGTCCTATCCTATACCACACCTCATTCGGCTACGAATATCCCCTTGCCTCCCTAAATGCTCCGTCATACTCCCGGGCTTCTGGGGATTCCGGCTTGAAAACTTCTTGGAACCCTCACCTCTGATTCTTCCGAAGCCTGCACCTGCATGCTGAGGGTCACCACGCCATGCACTCTGCTGTTCCAGTCTTTCGGAGGCGTGTAAGTCACCCTCGATAACGCCATCGCCACACCCCTAGGAAGTCCCAGCAGAACTAGAGCATCCTCGTCTCCCCCCCCGTCCAGCACGACAACACCCTCATCTCTGTCATCGTTGTCATTCTGTCCCAATTCAAGGACCCCAGCCGAGCAGTGCACCTGGCCCTGTACGACTGACCTCCCATCTCCGAACCTCACATCAACCGGTCCCAGAACAATCGAGTCGTCTTCTGGCATCTCCAAGAGGGGAGAACGGAAAGAGAGTGTCGGGGGCCTGGTGGCGGCGCCCGTGGGCCAGGCTAGGCTTACGGTCGAGGAGTTGGTCCCTTCGAGGAGACCATCGGAGGATGTTACCGTAACGGTGTCTTCGCCGGATGCATCGGCGCTTGCAGTGTACCGCAGGTCTGCAAGAGCAAGGTTTATCTCGCCCTTCGTCGGTTAGCACACGGTGCGGGGAGGGGGGCGGACGCCGCGCAGGTTACGTGTCTGGGCAACAGGGGTTCGGCATAACTTTACTTACGAGCGTCAAGTTCATCACGCCCCGGTATCGTGTTGGAGCGTTTTTCGAGTTTCAAGGCCCGTCGGAAGAGCGAACTGCAGTGGTGATGATGATGGTGATTTGAACGAGGTTTCATTGGTCTGCCTGCCCCTCCAGTCGCTGGTTCAGGCGTGACATGCACACTTCTTAAACGTTGGCGGACTAAAACTCCTATGTATATACACTTACAACGAGCGCGTGCCGAAAACACTGTAAGGCACGAATGCGCGCGAATCGAACCTGTAAGCCAGTAAAGAAGAGGGTGTTGGTAATGGCGTTGTAACCGGTTGGAAACGCCACGCCATAACGTTGCCCTTTGGCGAGCGATAGTGCCCCCAGCGAGCATTCTACCGACACCTGCGACGGAGAGTCGGCGCCAAGACATCGCACGGGTGGACACCACACCCGATTTTCGTTTCAGTGTCGCTCATTCATTGCGTCCTCTCGGCACCCATTCAGAGTACGCTACAGAAGAACTTCGTGCGGAACTCTCACAATAACCGAGACCTTGTGGAATCGATGTCTTGCACGAGCGGAGGTAGACCTGACGTTTTTTTCCGGAGGGCCCCGAAGACGGCCCACAAACTTACCAAGGCGAAAGGGGTACACAAGGAGAAACTCGATCACGCAACGGCGATGCAATCGTACCATACGGTTAGAAGTTGTGGAGAATACACAAAAACCGCCGAATCGCTAGCGAACCACTTAGTCCGCTAACCGAACCCTCTCCACAACAAAAATTCCGAATTCTTAAGGCGAATGCGTCCTTGCGTTGATCGATCGCACCTTGAGCATTCGTTCTGACAGCCTGCCGTCGGTGTCGGTATCCGGGTCTAGCACCAAGAACCCCGGGAGTGCCTCTTCTTCCCCCGGCACGGCCGTTCCGGAAGGGGCTGGAACGACGACGGGTGCATCGTTGACAGCGATAACTGCCACCTGTATGCTGAAGGACGACGTCTGGACCCCTCCCTCTCCGCCGTACCCGTTGTCGCTCACTTCCACCTACCAAGCAACCACACCGGGCCAATACTCCAGGTATTCATAGATCTGCTGTTATGCTCAGTTAGGTATTGGGGAACAGCTGCATACGGACTACTACATACCTGAGGCACGATACCTACACCAGCCCGGGTGAAAACACATTAATTTATCTCACCTTCAGCTCATCTACTCCGTGCCAATGAGGTGAAGGCACATACTCCAGTTTGCTCAGTACTCCATTGGTTTGTAGAAGCCCTCCAGAGAACACTACGGCCTGCCACGGCCCGGTGCCGGCGGCCTCAGCACCGCCTCCGACGATCCAGACCACATCCATCAAAGAGTCGGCATCCTTCTCATCGGCAAGCTTGTCCGACGATGCTGCGATTCGTCCATTTGAACATTGGAAGGAAACCGTTAGCCGTCCTTCGCCTCCCGCAGACATTTCGTTGTCGTGGATAGCGAACATCTCCAGAGGGAGAGGGACGTCTTCATCAGTCCCCAGCGCTCCACCGCTAGGTAGCAGGCCGGGGCCTTCGGAGTCGAGGAGTATCTGGGGGGGGTCGTTAACCGGTAACACGGTCATCTGCACCTGGCCCGTGGCGGCTAGCGACCCCCCTGCCCCGACGTTGCCAAGGTCGGTGATGTTCAGGGAGAGGGTGTCAGGACCGCTCCAATCAAGGGCTCCCTAGAAGACGGTGGGGTGGTGGATGGGGTAGAGGTTTATGAAGAATGAACAGAAACCACGGTGCGGCAGGACGGAATACGGTGACCGCCAATAGGTGGGGATGCCGTCAAGTGCACCTCTGCAACATATGCCACCCCAAGCACCAATAAAGAATAAGTTTGTTGACTAGGGAAGCACCGCGATGCGCACACTTCAAATTGCGCTCTCTTCAGGTGCAGAGTCTGGAGGTGAGCATGCTCCCTTAATACCAAAACGAGGAGCGACAGCAACCCTCAGCGAGATCTCACCAGGTACACCAGCCCTGAGAGTGCCTTGTTGATTGCATGGAGAGGGCCCTGGAAATTGATAGATTTTCTTCCAATCCCATCCAGAGCTCCCTCCGAGCAGACGGAATCATCAGACGTCAACGCAAGGGTGCCGTTGTGCACCCACAAGTAAATTTCCAATAGGGTATTTCCTGGCGAACAAGGGTCACGGCAGCGAGTTCGTCAAGACGGATATTGCTAGCTGAATGGGGCTTTTCCCGCCCTTAGATTTTCGTTTTACATGTGTGGACTGTCTACTGCCCGCTAGGCTCGCTACGAAAACATTTTGGCACAATCTAGTTCGGAGGTTCACTTTATCCTTCACATGGCTGACACCAACGAACGGCTTTCTTACTGCAACAGTTTTTATCCTACCCAACTTGACCACTCCTTAGTAGTCAATGCAATATATTTCTAGGAATACACGTTTCCTGAAGCGGAAAGGCGGTCTCACCTCCTGATTCATTCGAATCAGCGTCCGATACGCTGATCCCCGACATCAACAACGGAACATCCTCGCGTGCCGCAAAATTGTCCGGCAGATCTAGCCGTGGACCGTCGTTGACCGCGTACAAGACCAGACGGATAAGCAAGGGTTCGGATTCCTGCACACCCCCCGCACCAGATAGGCCGAGGTCACTGACCGCAATACTTAGCGACGCCAAGTCGTCGGTGTTGCGAGCGTTCGAGTTTGTGTCCGGCGTGAAAGAAAGGTCTTCGAGAGCCTCGTTCAGTGCCTGAACGAAGGGAGAAAGGGAGGAGGGGATTGTGCGTCCATGGAAGAATGTTACTTTCGACCTGTTGGTCGTATATCACAAAATAGGCGGAGGTCAGTCACGTCGAGGGGCGAGCACTATTCAACCTTGCACTGGACAGTCCTACCCCCTTTTCGAGTTCTCGGTCTCACGCCACCACGCTTAACGAAGGGAGTCCAAGAAACACGATAAACGTGCTACCAGAATGCATTGTTGTATTCGCATGAGAGCACCGAGCGAGGATTATACGAAAATCTTGTGCACACGGAATACTGTGGATCTGTCCTACACGTGGTTGACGAAATATCTCACCGAACGGCTGCATGTTAGAGAGAGAGCAGTGAGAGAGAGAGAGAGAGAGAGAGAGAGAGAGAAAGAGAGAGAGAGAGAGAGAGAGAGAGAGAGGACCACACGGGACGCGCGATTGGGGACAATATGGAATTGATAGCGACGATCTTGCGAACACGTTGCGCGTGCAATTGATTGCGGACAATCTTGGTTAGAGAGCGGATGTTTTCTCGTCTTGCTTGCATACGGGGTTGGCCGTTGCGGGCGGAACGATGAGTAAAGTATTCGACATGTAAGGTACTGCAGCGAGTGCGGCCCCATCGGCAGTGCTAGATAGAGACAGACCAGCAGCTTCCTGTCGCATGGGTGTCGAATGTACTCTAATTCATGCGGCCCTGGTCTGTGGTCCGCAGAGAGAACTATGCCAGAGCAAAAAAGAATACGGGATGCCAATCGGTTCACTCTGAGCCAAGGAAAATGCTAACCTGTGGTGCGCCTATTTTGACGACGGAAAGCTAGCCTGAAAAGAGGCCCAGAGGAACCGGTTCGCAGCAATCCATACACATACGACGCGCTGTATTGATTTCCGTAATTCCACCAATGGAACACCAATACCCCCGACATCCGATGCTCGCGACGGTCAATATTGTCAAAGCTTGTGGATACGTCGAGCTCCTGCACAACCAGGCGACTTGAGGGGAGGTAGTCAATCGGCTCGACCAGATATGCAGTGGGACGTTTCTCACCTCAATCGTACCAAAGACAATAACCTCATCGTCCAGAGAGCCTTTTCCTCGGTCAAACTCCAAGTCGGAAGGGTTGCCGCCGAGCGATATTTTTCCGTGACGTGCTTCAATGGTCAGCTTGACTCGTCCACCCCCCGCGTCCTGATCCTCCACCATGATGCCATCCACTGGCACAACCTCGTCTTCAACACCTTCCAACAGGAGGCCTTGTTCTCGCGTGACTCGGGGTGGGTTGTTCACTGAGCTCACATGTATTGGAATCGAGAGTGAGTCGGACAATGCTCCCCCACCCCCGGTGTTGCCCATGTCGTCTACTTCGACCTTAAAAGTCGTGGCTCCGGAGAACTCGAATGCACCCCGGAACGTCAAGCCCGCCAAGGCTTTGTTGATGTTTGTCACAGATCCTTGGAAGGTTTTGCTCTCGTCCGACGAATTTTTGATGAAGAGTCCAAGCTTGGCACCGAGCTCTACGTTGCTACCCTTCTCCGCTGCTGACACTGTGACCTCTAACACACTGCCGGTAGTGTCCTGGGCGTCTACATCCGATACCTCGATTCCGCCCAATACCGTCGTTCGACCTTCGACGGCTGTGAACTCGGACGGACCTCGCAAGAGAGGTGGGTCGTTGATGGGGGCGATCAGAACTATCAAAGTTCTTGGCACGCCGGGGTAAGGGTCGCCACCCTGAGCCGAGTCTTGTTCGTCCACAAGGACACTGAGGGCTTCGAATGTGTCCTGCCCTAGAGAATTCCAGTCGGGCGGGGCCGAGTACCACACATTCAACAGAGCAGCGTTTATCTCGTCCTGCGTTCCTGGTAGGGTGAGGCTACCCCCAACCTCGACCAAGGATTCAACAGTGTCCATTTCATTCGAGTCTTTCACCCACAGGTGGCCAAATTTTGCGGACAGACGCACTGAGACAACGGCGGAGCGCTCGAAGCCACTGAGCACAAGCGGTATCTCTGCCTTAGTGTCTTCGTTTACTCGCCAGGGTTCAGCGGTTGGGAAGTCAACCTGCCGGCCGTGCAACGGACACGTTGTGTAACTGGTCAGGCAATACAATTTCACGAACCTCCAGGGAATGGCACATGAAAGCTCCATACGTGCTCCAAGGTGCGTGTGCAGCAGCTGTGCAAACCATGTGCGATTTGACTGTTGTTCTGTACAGTAGTCTACAGGGTCTACCTCTCGTCCAAAGGGGAGCAGCTAGACTTGTACTGTACATATGTACACCGTAGACAACAGAATATTATACCCTAAGCGCATTCACCAATGGGAGCGTGCTGTACCCGTGCCGACTCTACACAACGCCCACCTACAACAACATGCATAGACCGGGCACGTTTGCTGAGGTCCTATATCTCACCAGCCATGCCGAAACAAGCTGCAAAGATGCTGTTGCCACCCCTGCCGCAATGATCCGAGCCCCTGTTGACGCCATCTTCGCACACCACCCCAAAAAGCCGTGACGGGAGCACACTATGCCAGGCGATGGCAGCAAGGCGCCCTATATCATAGCCAAGGCAGCCTACTTCTACCAGTGAGCCTTGACACAGAATGGCAGAGTCGTGTGCTGTTGGATATGACTTGGATCCGGCTCTGAACCGGTGGGGACGTACGTGAGACGGTGTGCGGCGGAACTCCAAGTCCCCATTCTGTACAAATTGCTCCGCGTCTGCCAGTCTCGCGACTCGCGCCTCGGGTTCCAGCGTTCCAGCCCACCTTGCCATATAAAACTTACAACCTTCAACCAGTGCTGGGGGCTGGGTGCTCTCCGCTTGTCCAGCACAAGATTGCGACTACCGATCGTGTTCACGTGGAAACATGCACTCGTTCCGTGCTGCGGCGGTTTGCCTTTCGATTGTCCAAGCATCCGGGTTTGCATCTACTGCTCACTACCATCGGCCACATCCGCAGCGACCAGGAAGTCATGCGCTGGGAGCGACCGGCGTCCTCGTGGAACCCCCACGAGCGGATCCCTTGGTGGCCTTAGAGTTTTATAGTGGGATAGGTGGACTGCGCGTTTCCCTGGAGAAGGCATTAGAGGCGGTCAGCCTTGAAACAAGCGTGGGCAGCTTCGAGATCTCGTCTGTTGCCAATTCGGTGAGACAGGACAGGAGCACGTCCCTTCCAGCATGTGCTGTCAGTAAGTAGCAGTCGCATCCATGACCAACGTGTACAGCAGTAGTGTTTGGACGATTGTACATGATGCATGCCTCAATCCAACGAATGAAGCGTAGCGCCCCTTCTGTGACGCTCGTCTCACACAGGAGAGCCCCTATGGCAGTGGACGCCTGCAACAATGCTACATACACATGTAGGCTACTCTATACTTGTACGCACATAACATAACATCCTGCCATAGTCTACTGACTACAGCTTGACGCCTGCAACCGCGAAACCTTGTCACATGCACGTGAGTTTGCTGACGATACCATGCCTGTCATACTTACGGTACCATTCAAGGACGGCAGTAAAGAGCGTCACGGTTGTTACCGCGAGTCTCCACGGAAGCATGAAACTACATGTACCCTCGAACCCGATCCAACTTATATTTCTAGGTGTACGAGCACAACTTTCCTGGGTGCAGCGTGACGAGACGATCGATCGAGCATCTTTCGGCTCAAGATATTGAGGTTGATGCGGACATCTGGCTTCTAAGGTTGGTTCGTTGTTCTCTCTCTCATAGTTGATAAGTTCAGAAACCTGTATTGTACGGGGCTCGTTGGTGAGCTCAAGGGGCGGTTTGCATAGTTGCTGAGAACCCGACTGCTTCGTCTTATCATTTACATACAGTAGATTTCCCTACAGCCCCAACGTACTCGGATAACCGTTGGGAATCTCCGAAGACTGTCCCACACAGAACATCGCAGAACGTGTGCCTGAGCGCCAACTCTCACTTTCTGTCTATTTGTATCCATTTCGCTACGTCTACGTTTGGGCAGCCCGCCGTGCCAGCCTTTCTGCAGGGTTGGAAATAAGATGGACGAACAGGACAACCGCTCGGTCAGCTTCCTGCATCTCCTGTCTCTGCTCAAAACCATCAGAACACCGCCGTCGTTCCTGTTCCTAGAGAACGTGCAAGGGTTCGAAGGTTCACACGCCCATCTTCGCCTACTCGAGGTAAGGGCCTGCATGTTCGAGGTCACATAATTGCCCATGTAAGTTGCTGGTTGTGGTTCAGTGGAAGAGCACACCCCCCGTATTTTGACCATGTATGCGTGTATGCCGCTCTGGTACTGGTCTCCTGGCATTTAGTTTGCGCAAGGTTTCATGTTTGCCTTGTACACGGCTGGTTGTTGTTTGGTGGAAGAGTACACAGGCCGTATTTGCCCATGTGTGTATGTATGTCGCCCCGGTGCTGGTCTCCTTACATCGTTTGAAGATGCTGTACTCTTTAACTTAGTGCGATAATCATCTCCTATTCCACTGCCCGTGTCCCTGCTCACCCTAGACTTTAATCGCTCGGGGATTCGACGTAGAGCAGTACTTACTTTCGCCTAATCAGCTGGGCATTCCAAATAGCCGTCTGCGGTACTACTGCCTTGCGCGGAGGAGAAATGCCGACGGTATGGGGGAGGCCACCGACGTCAAAAAGTCGTTTCCCCAGGACGTGGCAGCCGTTCCCTTGCGTCCGCTCTCCAAATACTTGGTGAGAGGTGTTGTGCAGTGGGATGTATTATCGCGAAGGCTTGTGGAGCCAAGATTACTGACTGACGAACCAAAGCCTACTGAGTAGGTACGAGTGGTTTTGGTGGTACGGTCTCTTTAAGGGGGGGAAGAACAGCGGTTTTGACGCTGGCTCTTTTCCCATAGTTTAATCCTATACAAAGAAAGAAAACAACCTTTCCGCCGGGGCTAGGTTAGGCATTCTATTGCCATCAGTAGAGAACACCATGAAGAGGCGTCGTGCGTGCTGGCACGTTCAGGTTTGCTACTGGAGCGGAAATATCGAAGGTCGCAGCAGCCGCTGAAAACAGTCCAAAATCTGCGCCGGAACCAAGCGGCATCCAATATTTGTCACAGCCATGCTCACCGCCACGGTGTTAGCAGTAGCTAGTGGCATCAGCTACTGCTGTAAACCCGTAGCTCAGGAGATTGAGGTCGGTGACGGCGAGCATGGCTGTGACAAATGTTGGATGCCGCTTGGTTCCGGCGCAGATTTCGGACTGTTTTCAAAGGCTGCTGCGACCTTCGATATTTCAGCTCCAGTAGCAAACCTGAACGTGCCAGCACGCACGACGCCTCTTCATGATGTCCTCTACTGCTGACAATAGAATGCCTAACTTAAACCTCAAAACTGACCTTATTTGAGCGCCTTCCGCTTGGGCTCTTTTGACTTGAATTTAGAATAGAGTGAATTTTTATCTTGATTTCAAAGGAAGCCTGTGGAGGTAGACGCGTGAAATGTATGTTTTGAGAAGCCTCTACTGCCGCCCTGTGCGAGAATCAACGATTGCTGTTTTTCACGATGCCTCCCGACTGGTCTTGTATGTCTGTTGTACAATTTCTGGACCTCTTGCGTTTGTTTTCAAAATTCAACATCAACATTGCTCTTCTTCCCCCCCTTAAGGGACACAATCTGACATGATAGTTCATGTGCTCTTGACCGTCAACATTTGTTAACGACAACACAGCCTACCTTGTTAGGGATACAATTAACAGACCATCGTGCTTGCCGCGAGCGGCGAAGTGTTTCGCCAGCAAACAGGCGCATACCGTAGCCTCTCGCGTCCACGCTCGCGTCCCCTCTAAGGACTGGCGTATCCTCAAGCGATTCCTGTGCGGACTTGATCATGTCTGTGCACACCTCAACCGAACATTGTCACGCAGGATCCATCCTTATACGGGGAGGCGGCGGTTCCACTCCTCTTATCGCCGAAAGCCTGTTCACACGCAAACCCGTCCCTTCGTTTCGACGTGGTCACCCTACAATCAACCGAGACGACGACTTTCACCAAAGGCTACCGCAAACACGCCGGACGCGCGGGGCCGGTCGTGCTGTTGACGGATGACGGTGAACGGCGGGTTAGCGGGGAGAAGCTAGGTCGCTTCCCATCCGGTTTGGACCTGGGGCCCGAGGGGAAAGAGGTTCGGTGGTTTTCGGATGGGGAGATGCTCCGGTTGCACGGGTTCCCGGAAGCTTTTGATTTCCCGACGGCCCTCACCCCACGTCAGCGTTGTGCGTTGGTAGGCAACAGCGTCAACGTAGAGGTGGTGGCACTGTTGCTCGAGTTTATGTTATTCGAAGGAAACGCGCCAGGAGACTGGGGCGAACGATTCAGGGCCGAGCAGCGGCAGGTGTCCACGGTGTAAATCGTGCCCATGACATGCGCCGTAGTCATCGGGGGCGACTACCCCTCAACTTTTGTTTCGTGTGTGCGTCTTGGGCACGGGGCGTAGTCAGGCAGCAAGGATGGGTATGTTCCAGGAGGAGAAATAGTGTACCAAAGTGCTGTGCGAACACGGTGACGCGAGCGGTAGAGCATAGGAACAGATGTACCCGAGGAACACAAAACAAGCAGGACGGCGCGCCGATAAGACCCTTCTTTACGGAAACAGAATCTTGCAAACATATCTTCGCATTTTGACCCAAGATTTGCGCACAATATTTCTTCGCCAAGATTTGCAGTATCGCGATTTATGGGGGAAATATGTTGAATGTTGAAAAAGCGGCGTGTTGTTCCTGTCTTCTGCTTGAACTTGATAAAGGCACAACGGCCACTTGGTCCACAGAAAATGCCGAGGTGTGGCGAAAAGTGAGCATGACGCAGTTGTAGAAGAGGCGTCCCTCCCCCAGCAGTATTGCCTCAACACTAAGGGTGAATACGTGTATACTAGCGATGGACGCCTACCTGGGGTACAAAATAGCAGCCGTTGCCCACGAGCTCATATCGAGCGGAGAAACAATATTGTTCCATTGCCATCCAACTGACAAGAAAGTGCATCAACCCGAGGCCGATGACACCCATGCACGTATCTCACTATGTAGTAGGCGTACCGAGGTCAAACCTCCGGCGTTGTCATCTGCACTCACGGATTTGGCTCGGGTGCAAACGGGTTGGGTGTGGGGTGATTCGATGAAGAGACAGAAGCGTCGCACACGACAGAGCTGTGTTGGCAAAGCGTTCCTCCTCCTCTATTTTTCTACTTCAAAATAAAATACTATTTTTTTACGGTCACTCGACCGACTGGTGATGACGCGCGTGGAACGAGCCAGGGCAAATACGCATTTTTTTCGCGCGCCGTGGTCGTTTTCGTTCACAGTGACGCCAGGGTGCATTAGAGGCCCTTGCGAGTGTGCCACGTGAAGATTTCATGGCGTTATGGACGATTAGATTGACTGACCTTCGGTGACCGCGCCGCGCCCAGGCAAGATTTGTTACGCCGCCTCAAGATTTGTCGGAAGGCTCATTTCGACAGATCTTGGGTCAAGATTTGTTCGAAAGGGCAGATTTCGGGCCTCGAGAAATCTTGACCAAGATATATCGGAAGATTTTGATCCCATAAATCGTGAAACTGACATATCTTGGCCAAGATCAAGATTTATCGACAAGATTTCGATCCCATAAATCGCGGTCTAATGCACTACATCTTCGTACAAAAAAAAACTGTTTCAATTCGCATTTGACACGTTCAGGACCAGACAAGCCACACTACAATAATGGCAAATTCGCGAGACCCATGCATGTCTCTGCACTGTTTGTTTCAATACCGCGAGAAGTTGAACCACGCTTCCCACACAAACCCCAAAACCCCCTCGGCCCCCCTACTCGAAGGGTACAGCCTAGACTACGAGACTGCACGATCTGGCGTCGTGCCATCGAGAGACACCCCTAACGTTTCTCCAGGGAGCAGCAAAGATGCTAACCCTCCCACCAATGTCAATCCGCTCGTCACGGCGAGCAGAAGGAAAACGTTACCCTCTAAGGAACCGTTCGCGAACTGTGCCCCAATCGAACCCAGTCTCCCCGCCGCCGACACCAGCCCCATCCCCGACACCCTCGCGGCAGTCGGAAACGCCTCTGTCGAAACGACACCTAGGGCGTTCCATCCGCACGTGCTAAACGCGTTGAAAAGGCAAGCCCCAGAAATTACCACCCCTGCTCCAGATCCAGATCCTAGAGCGAAAACTGATGCCGCAACCGCAGCAAGCACCATTGACGCAGACAAAAGCGGTTTTCGCCCAACCTGAACGGGGCGTTTTCGGTGTAGGGGTATGGGACACGGGGACAGGGGACGGGACCAGGGTTTCGAGTCTTGCTATTGGAAAGGCACCATCAAGCTTCCAGTGACAACTCGTTCAACAAATACAACTTCCTGCAACCTCCGAGGTGACAATGCACACTTTTCATTTCGTCATGAGCACCAAAATTCCTGGAGCTCGCACTAATAGCCCCCGAACGACGACGACTAAACAGCTAAGAAGCCGAAACGACCGGCGGCAAAAGAGCTGTTTCGTGATTGGTGCTGAGGAAGTCAGGGGCAAGTGCAAACAAAGGTTACAGCAGAACATGCCTTATTGCTCGTTCCTCCACTCACCTGTTCAACCAAAAAAATGGACGCTACATTTCCCGGGAGGTCGGAGAGAGAGTAGATAACAGAACAAAGGTACGGGTTGGACAGCCCGATATCGGCGAAGACCTGGTTGTTCCACGTGGCTACCCCATACGTGCCGTAGCTCAACGTGAACCACACGACGACCAGCACGATCGTCGCCCTTTGGAGTCTCGCATCGTTCCCCGGACAAAGGATTCGCATCACGCCCCCGTCACGCTGGTCCTTGGTACCGCTGCTTTCGCTGCCACGGGTTAGTTCATCTTCTGGGTTGTTGATCATGGAAGAGGTCTCTGTAATCTGATCTGGAGCAATCCCTGATGCGCTTTGATACAACCCGCCGCCCAAGCTGCGCCGCCAGGATTGCCATGCACTTGCGAAGCTGGGGCCGGGTCTTCTAGTAGAACTATGTTGGACTAGTCCCGAAGGTAGATGGACGGGAGCATTCGTCATCCGTTGCATAACGATCCTCATCTCGTCGTATCGGCCTGCGAAAGTTAGGTGCGGTAGTGATCGCCTCACGAAAGTCCTCTCTATCATTACTGCAATACCGTATCAGCAGAGATGGCTTCGGAATAACGAGTTTCCACAGCGAACGAAGAACAGAGAGAGAATAAATGAAGGGCGCAGATTGACTAAGGTAAGCACAGCCTCCACAGCCTCCGCCATTTGACAGCCACAGATGATCTACGTCCCGTCCATTCAGTCCATATATCCCGGCCAGGATATGCATGGCTTGCTCACGGGAACTCAAACGAATGGTCGGCGGAGCCGTACATCGAATCCGAGAGCCCATGACAATGGCACATCGCAAGGTACGAGGTGTGACGCCCCACAGGATGATGTTGTCAACGGCGCAGCGCACGCCCTCAGGTTTCATCAAACAGATACGGGGCACCCAAAACAAGAAGAATGCTACATTATGATCGCGTGAAAGAACATACGCTTGCTTTCTCTGTCGATGCCTGTGTTCATCGCAAACTTGACGTGCTTGGCTCTAGAGCATGTACGAACCGACAGATCGAAGACGCAAGAGGAAGCCTAGTGTGTCACGCGGTCAGGATACAAATGGAAGAAATCACACATCAGCCATCTACCCTTACACCCTGGTTATTGCCGCAGTTTACCAACCTTCTCTAGCGAGAAACCTCGGTGACTCGGGAACGAAGATAAAGGTCAGTGACAGGGCTGCTACTGCTGGCAGGGCTGCAACCAATGCGTAGTGCCGCCAGGTGCCTCCTGGGAAGATCCGCCTCCCACCAAAACCATCGCCGAGCACTACCCACGCGGCGATTGCCGCAAACACCGAGCCGACCATCCAGAAGCTACGGCAAGGACATGGCACGATAAATTGAATTGGACATGTCAGAATCAGACTCATCCTAACACTACTCCTTAGACCAACAAAATAGCACACACAACCCAATCATATACCCAGAACAGCTACAGTGCGCACCAACTGCTGTGGAACTGTGCTCTGGCAGGCTGGGTTCCGAATGATCGGAATTCGAAGTAGGAAGAAACCAGGTTGCTGTTGCCGGCCTTACCGTATCGCCGAGTGCATTGCAAATAGTACTACGTTCGTCCTGAGAATACTGCACGGATGTACACCTTACCAAGAAACAAAAAAAAACTCCTCGGGGAAGCCCACTCTCTCACCTTGCGATGAGAGACACCATCGCGCCTCGAATCCGAGTGGCAAACAACTCGGCACCGAGCGTGAAAACAACGGGAATCGAGCCGCCCACACCTGGTGGTACGTGTACCGCGTTCGTTCAAGTTTCCGAACAGGTGGGAAGGAATCATGTGCCTTAAGGCGACGAGAGACTGCCGATGCGTGAACATATGCTACAAACAGTTCGGTATCGACATTGTGACAGCGACAGGCGTCGGACCCAGACCTGGAGGTTGCCGCTCCTCAAACAAGCACCAGAAGCCTCTCCGATCAAACAAAACTGGTTCAGCAAGAGCGCGGAGAAACTGTTCCAAACCTGGCCCGTTTTCCACGGAGAACAACTCCTCGGCCACTACGATTGATGCCGAGTGGTCCACTGTCGCCAACAAATCAGGGGCACAAGTCGATCCAATTCGATGCATCTTCCTCCGGCGTAGCTTACCTAGCCCGGCACACACCCTAGCCGCAATCAACCAGCCAACAGAAGGAGCCGCCGCGGAAATCGAAGCGAAGGTGCAGTTTACGGCAAGGGAAATGAGAAGGCAGTTGCGCCTGCCCAGACGGTCTGCAGCGCTTCCCGCCAGAATTCCTCCGACGAGCATCCCCACGAAGACTGCGGCTGTGAGGAGCTCTTCAGGACCGCGCGAAACAACGCCGGTAAGTCATCGTCAGTTGAGAAACACTATCCCTCTTGCGGAAGAACCAATGTGGCGTTGCCGTGGCGTGTTCTACGACCCCCGCGCCTCCCATCAACCGGAACGATCATGTTCTTGCGCTGGTTAAGTACATCTACAAGGCCCACAAGTAGTAGTAGCACCTTTCTGAGTGCTGTTGAGAGCGCTCCCGTCCTCGTGTTTGAAGGTCCTCAAGATGTAGCCTGCGCTCACGATTTCCACAGCATCCGCCGCATTCCCCAGCGCCAACGGCCTGTCAAAACGGATTCGTGTGTTTGTGTTTAGGGGGGGGGTTGGGGGGCGAAACCTACAGTTGTGATTGGTCAATACTATGGTCAACAGGGAAAACACGACGAGCCTTTGCTGCCCGCAAAAGCGTGAACTGGCTATCGCGTGAAGAAGACACATTGGCGAAATCAATTCAGGACTGCACGACTGCACACCTGCGCCTCTTTCGCACCCCCCATGGAGCTGACCTCATCTTGGCGCTACCCCCGACTGGGCCGAATATGATTGGCACAGTAGCCGTGCGGCCCCCTCGCATCGTCCAATGCCCGCTGAATTTCTCGAGTACAATACTTTTTGTGCATATGAGCGTGTCATTTTTCGTTAGCGGGGATGGCGCTTCCACAAAATGTACGACGTCGACAGCCCACGCACGGTCATGGGCAACGTCCCTGCCACCGCTAACGCCAAACCCTGGGAAAGAGACAGCAGACCCATGTGTAAGCTGCTGACTCAGCTTCCGCGTGGTGCACGTGGTCTGTCTGGCCCACCGCTGTATCCCAATATGTGTGCTTCGGAAGAATATGTGACGTTGCGTGACCACGTAACCCCCCGGCTGCCGCCACCGCATTTGATTGTCGGCTTGTCGGCATCGGGGTTCTGCAAAACAAAGTTTCAAGTACAGTGTAGAGACGGCACGATGAGGTTTTGTCTCCGAAAGCAAATGTAACTGCCTCATCCTATGTAATAGGGTGATCAATCTGGGTATATCTTTTGTCATTTGTGCAGAATTGAATAATTGAGCATTCGGAGCGGTCTACGCACCGCGGCTGTAGTTCGATCCTTTCCCTTGGACCCGAACTCCTGTACATCCTTCTAACATTTTGTTTGTGTACAACCTTTATACGTATCTAACTTGTTTGGACGCCTCTACACTATCTTCCTCCATCCCACGAGTGCATGGCGTCCTTCGAACACCGTTCTACAGCAGTAGGAAGAAATGGCAACACACAGACGTGGGTTATTCCTGACTGTAGATATACTCCTTTCAGCACACAGCAGCGCAGCTACATGTGTATTGGATTATGAAGTCCGTCGTCGCGGGTTGTTTCCCACATGAACTGCGTTGCATGCACATCAGCTGCACCCAGCCGGTTTCCCTCGACTCGGCGCAAAGACTTTAAGGGGGGGCAGAATAGGGGTTCTGACGCTGGCTCTTTTTCTCATACTTCAATCCAACCTAAAGAAAACAACCTTCCCGCCCGAGGAACCTGGTAATTAGTACTAATATCAGTAGAGGACACCACCAAGAGGCGTCGTGCGTGCGGGCACGTTCAGGTTTGCTACTGGAGCTGAAATATCGAAGGTCGCGGCAACATCTGAAAACAGTCCGACCTCTGCGCCGGAACCAAGCGGCATCCAACATTTGTCATAGCCGTGCTCACCCCCACCAACCGTAAATCCCTGAACCGCGTCAGCAGTAGCTAGTGGCGTCAGCTACTGCTGCAAACCCGCACTTCAGGAGATTGGGGTCAGTAGCGGCGAGCACAAGCAGTAGAAGATACTGGGTGTCGGTCTAATGTGCGGGGATTTGCGGAGATTGTAGGCCGCTACTACGACCCTCGATATCACCACCACAGAAGCAGACCTGAGCACGCCAACACGCACCCCCCGCTGCTATAGGATGTCCTCTAGTGATACAAGTACTATGCACCAGGTTCCTGGCAACACAGAGCTTATTTGAGCGCCTGCTGTTTTGGCTCTTTATACTTGATTTTAGAATGGTGTAAACTTTTAGCTTGATTTCAAAGGAGGCGTGTGGTGGTAGACGCGTGAAATGTATGTTTTGAGAAGCCTCTACTGCCGCCCTGTGCGAGAATCAACGACTTCAGTTTTTTGCGATGCCTTTCGACTGGTCTTGTGCCTCTCGTGTGCCATTTCTGGTGCTCTTGCGTTCGTTTTTCAAAATAGTCAACATCACAGTTCGTGTTCTGCCATCCCTTAGGCCCCCACGCCCCCAATGGGTGCGGGGGCCCGAATCGCAAGCGAGAGTTATCGACGACGGCGAAAAGGGAGATGAAAATTGAAACGGCGAAGAAGGTTTAAAGCTGAGAAATTGTTCCCGTGCGCGGGTGAGAGTGCTACAACACAAATGACCACAACCATGACTGCGGTTTGTTGGTTCCATGTAAAGAAAATTTGGGAAAAAATCTGCAGGGGTCCGTTGAGCAAGCGGCTTGCGTTCAGCACACCGGCTGAGAGTAAACGTGCGTTAATGTCGGGTATGGCGTTCATCGAAGCAAGTTGAAGAATGCAAAACTAGCTGTTGTAGGCATTTCGGGTTGGAACGGAAAGGCCAGGCACGGCGTATTGCGTGATGACCGCAGTCGGTGTCGTACTGCTGTTGACAGGTAGCAGGGAAAGGCAAGTTCTCTCCACTACAGCAGCAGTGCTGCAAACGATGTGTGTGTTTCTTCACGGCTTGACGGCCTTCCGTACCCGTTGTATGGCCGGGTTAACGACATCCTGGAATTGTGTAGTGACCTCCTGCAGAGCCCATATATACAAGACGCGTTGAGGGTGTTGGCTGCTGTTTACATTGCGGAGACACAGCAGTTCTCTGTGCTGCTAATCCTGTGTTCCTGTGCTTTGTTCTCTGTGCTGCTAATCCTGTGTTCCTGTGCTTCGGTGCTGGTGTGCACACGCGGCTGTCACGCGTGTTTTCACGGATTGACCAAACCCCACCCTCGCGAGTTCGCCAATGCGCGACCTAACGTCCGAACCCTAATAACACATGTGAGACGTGCTTGAACTAAGGTCCACACTGACCTGCCGTGTACACACGCCACAATAGGTTTGTGTGCAACGGCTATTGTAAGAACTACAGACACGTATGTACCGTTGGTTGCCGCTCTGTGTACGTAATCGTGCGCTGCTCAAGATACCGCATGTCTAGAATTCCTCACCACACTCTCCGATCACGACCATTGCTCAAGTGTGAGAATACATGTTCCGTTGGTCAATTTTTTTCGTGGTCCGGGACAGCCCAAACTGTCGTATTCAGTCTCACACAAAAGGCGTGCAGCATGTATGCAAGAAAAATATAAAAACAAACAAAAAATTCTCCACCTAATCTATTTTCAAGTAGTGCGACGGAATGGCACACAAGACTCCACCACATCCCGTTCGACTGCTTTGGATATATCTCGAACGGGTAGTCTTTCTGTGTGTGTATGTATTTTTCCTATGAATTCATTGCTAATCTGTCTCAGAGTCTTTTCTATGATAGAGATGGTTTCGTTGTGTCATATTAAGAAAAAAAAAAAAAACTTAAGGTGATTACATAGCCGAGAACCCGAGCGAGCACCCGAGCGAGCATCGCGAAATTATCCTGTTTACCCTCTATTACACTCACAGTAGAACTTGCGCCCGAACTTTCCATCCACAAGAAGAGTTCACCAACAAGCCATCCACGTATGAAGGATCCAGGTTCGGCGACAGGGGGTCCGACAGGGCTGTCGGTTCAGCCTCCATTTCTAACGCCGTTACCGGCATGCAGTGTGTCGTGTGGTGTGCGGTGTGCCCGGCGATGGTGGGTGTCCTGTGTGCTGGTTCGGATGTTCCTGTTCCGGCCAGAAGGTTACAACAGACAACGGAGAGGGTCCGCTACAACTTGTTTGTAACAGCCCGTGACGTACGTAACAGCTTGGCTTTGGAAGGAGCTGTTTGGAAGAGGAAAAGAGTCCGCGAGTCGCTCGCTGCGCTTGCACCCAACACACGTGTTGCTGCCTCACTCAGCACTCCGCAAAAGTTGAAAAGATTTGCGAGGACACGAAGGTGTAGAGGATAGGTCTGCTGTAGGTGCAGCAGAACCGGTGCACCCGCGGAGCCCCCCGCATGAACTTGACCAAACCGTCCACCTTAGGTCATTGAGCACGACGGTACTCGACGCCCAGGGAAAGGCAAGATACCAACCTTGGCGAGAAGTGCAAGAAAGCCACATACTACACGTGTGAGTGATTTATAGCGTCAACTTGTGCCTTGAGT